AATAGTTATCACAATAATTTTATGATAAAAACTGTGTAAAATACAAAAAAAAAAAATACTATATATAAAACTTGAGGGATCTTGGCTGATTCTTGGGGTGCCATAGTGTTCTAGATTCTGTCGGCAGCGAGAACCCCCTAAATATACATTACATACATACATACATACATATATACATACATACATACATACATACATACATACATACATACATACATACATACATACATAATATAACTTTACAAAGCGAGCTGAAAATTTTGAAAGTTCCATTGCAATTAGCAAATATGCACGGAGTAAATGAGTGTTTGCTTTTTGGTCCGACGAGGAAAATAAAGACTAATCAATTTGATCATTCAACCGTATGATGGTATATATACACACACACGATGAATGCACACGTATATTTATTTTGTTCTTATATATATATCATACGAATGTAACGACAGACAAAACGTTAACCGAAAATATACAGTCATTACAATTACTGTGTGGTCATATTGACATGACGAATTCTCGGAGAATCTCCGTGTCTCTTGGCTTTGATGTCGGCGAAGTAAGATGTAAAGTCCCGTTGAAGTTGTGAAGTTTCTTGGTCTTTTCTTTTTAATTTGTGTTTCACCATTTGCATGAATATTATTTTCGGGATTCTTCATGAACACACACACACACACACATATATATATATAATATAATGTATAATCTCAACAAATAGTACTAATTAAATCATCTATATTATTATTACATAAGTGCATTTATCATTATCGTCTTTATGGTTACACTGCCGTCGATCCTTACAACTAATATAAGTTGATAGAATTCAAATCCAGGAAAAAAAATGAATCCACTTTTGTTACTATAACCACATTCTGGATCATTGTTGATTCATTATTAGAATAAAATTAAATTAATGGAAAGTTAAGTAAATATGTAGTTTAACTTTAATGTTATAAAAACCTCTCGATGATTTCTAATAATATCATGTTGTTAAATGGGAATCATCATGACCTTTCATTGAAATATTTATGGTACATATTGGATGGCTCAACCGGTAAGGAAGAGAGCAGAAATCTTTTCCAACCAGGCTTCGAATCCTCACTTGGGGAGGGGTAATTTACATGGGGTCTTCCCATTTTTCTGGAAGATGTAGTCGGATCAAATACTCGATGAACTCCTGGATTATAAAAAAATATATATATTCATGGTCCAAGATTGTATAGACCAAATTAATGGTATATATATATATCTCTTGGATAATTTATTTGTTTTAAACTATTTTACGCTGATCTCATTGATTACACTAATCTCATTGACAAAAAAAAAATGGAAAAAATATATACGTTAGAAATACAAAGAATATTATTCTCAGTTATGTGAATCTAAAAAAAATTGAACCCATGAAAAAAATATAAATTTCAAAATCTTCAAAGAAATTTAAAAATAGAGAGAGAGAATACCGAAAAGCAAAAATGTTCTCGCTAAAAAATTAAGTTTTTTATTTGATATATATATTCAAAGTACAATATGGGTAAGATATTTTAGATTTTTAAGGTTCCAATAAAACTAATGGAGTTACATACAAAATTGGAATATAAAGCGATTTATCAAAAAAGAAAAAACAATAATAAAAATTGACATATAAGCCGAGTAAGAATACACATAAGAGGTGGGACCACTGATTTTTGGACAAGTGCTTGTGAATTGTTATAATCGAACTCTGAATGTAATAGTGTCATCTTTGGGACCCACATTCCGGAGCTTATCTCAACATTATAGTTAGATTATTATTAAAAAAAATATCCGTTGTTAAGATTATTTTAAATTTTTCAGGTTGTTTTTTTAAAATTAAATCGATCAGTCTCTCTTTTTTTAATGCTTCCAAATATTTTTTTAGATGTAATTCGATTTAAATATAATTATATATTATTCAAATTGTTTAACATATCCAAACCAAAATAGTTTGAATATTTTTAAATTTTATTTTCTATGCTAATTTTGGTCATTTTCCTCTTCCTATTTGAGATAATGATAGATACTACAACTGATACGTTTTTCTTTTACGAGCTTTTGCTGTGATCAAATTGCTTTTATACTTATAATCGCATACGTACTTTCATGGAATTGTAGTTACCATATTTCATGAAAGCCACGTATTTGGTATGTCAATTTGATTAAATTTTACATAAAATTATCTGTTAGTGTAATTATTTGCACGATATGTTGGTTGTTAGAGTTGTTGTAGGTTAAACAAACTATGAGAAATTTCAGGAGAAGAATCCGGCGAGATGACACTCGAGCAAATCTGAAATACAACTGAATAGATTCAGATAAAGTCAAAGATTGAAGAGATAGAGTCAAAGGCTGAAGAGATAGAGTCAAAAACAAGAGATAACCTGAGATCCTGAAGATAGACACGAAATCAGCAAGAATCACAGAGAAGTCTATCAAATCAACTCGTAAAGATCTGAGACAAACTGGAGGAGCCTACATAAGGGAGACAAGATGCATATCAGGCCGGACAGAGAGCATAAGCATATTTCCGAGTCTATTCTGTTCTTTGAGTGGTTACTCATTATTTGGTGAGTGTGAGTCTGAGAGGGAGACCGATTGGGCAAATCTCCTTTCTCTGGTGAGTGATTTGTGTTGTGAGGTTTTTGAATCAGTAGAATTCATTGTGAGAGGGGAAGAAACTCAGGGGGAGTTTCGGGTGTGTAGTAAGTACGATTCTTACAATAAAAAGTGAGTTGTACTTGACTATCTTTCTCGAGTGAATAGAACTGATTGGTTTTCCGCATTATTCTGTGAGGGTTCAACTTTTTCATAATCAATTTTTTTATGTTAACGTGAAAATTTTAAAAAAAAAACATATCAACTTTTGAATTATACGTAACTATTTTTTCTAGTGATATGCCGTCTCACGAACTCAAACGCATTTTGATCATTTCGCGGCAATGATTTCTGATCGTGTATATATGTTCTAATATTATCGATGTGAAATCTTTTTTTTTAATTACAATATCAGAAACCACGGTATAATTAGATAAAATGTCAAATAAAGTGAAATGGGTGAAGCAATCATGTAGCCATATCGTAAAAGCTAACCATTTGAGTTACCGTATGAATGCAAGTCATATATGGTGATGGTGGCTTAAATGATTATACAAAATTAAATTAAATAAAACCAAAATTCGACATATACCTAACAATCTCCTCCTATGCTTAGACCCGAAGATGAATTGAGTTTTAAGATCTTTAGAGAACGATAGTTAGACACATGCACATGACTACAGCCCCACTATTGCCGTTTTCTACAATTTGTAAAAAAATAATCCAAGACAAAGAATTGCATGTAAATAAAAAAAATTTTGATAACCCAAATTTGGTAGTTCGACCGGTAAAACGGACGCAAAACGTCTATTCTGTCCCGAATTCGAATTTTAAATTTGGATGGTGAACGTATATTCTAAATCATATGGGTGGTTTCCGATCCCGTGATTAGTATGGGTCTTGACCCAAGATACCCGATTATCAAAAAAAAGATCTGATACCATTAATTAATTTTAAATTTTTTAAATATTGATTTGAAAGAATAAAACACCAGATTTTAGATTTAAAAAAAAATAAGAGCAAAAATCAATATAAACTAACTAACAACGCAAAAAAATGTTGAATATTAGGGAATTAAACTTATAATATTCCTTCTAATAAAAAAAATCTTTTTTTTTAACGTCAAACTGGTTATGGTTATGGAAAAAATCTTAACCTCAAACATATTTTGCCCGAAATAAAATCCTTAAATGAACAGCTTGCACACATCAAAAGAAGAGCATGGTTTAAACAACTCCACACTTTGAAAGTGAGTTAGGCGTATTAATTAGAAAATTTTAATTATGTAAAGAGAGGATAGGGATTATTGAGATGATTAATAAATGGAATTAGGTTTAATAATTGTACGGTCACACCAGAGGGTTATATAACACTATAAGAAAGAGATTATATATTATAGCTTTTGATATAAATGTGGTGGTTGCGACGCTCCAGTTTGGCCTGTCGACCCATAGCCCTCCTTCATTATGTTACCGCACGTGTTCACATTAAAATCCTCCACCTTCCTTTTTTTTTCATTAATTTTATTTTAACCAAAACCAAATTTAAATTGACCCATAAACCAATTCAAACCAAAACAAAACCGGGACACATGAATTATTATTAAAACCGGGATACATGAATTATTATTATTATACTCACAACAAAAGCCATAGGATCTCGATGATGCTACTGAATTTAAAAAAAAAAAAATTATAAGAATTGTTATTATTATAGCGGATAATTAAAATAACAAAGGTGATAAATAAATAATTTCATTACCCCTTACCAAAAAAAGATAAACTTGTCTTAGAATATATATGAAAATCGATCGCCAGACATTACAGTTATTATCCTAATATATAAAATGAAATACAAGGGGTTATATGGTACGGAAGTATACTTTCATCACATGTACTTACGCTGTCAAAGGATCTATATATAAGATTTATTTAATGTTAAGCTGTACTATTGTTTTTAATGTCCAAATGGATTCGGTTCTTGCATGACCCAAGAAAGGACATTATAAACAAACTGCATTATCACAGACATATATATATATATATATAATTTCTGAAATTGTTATAAGCAATTATAGGTAATATGCAATGTCTTCAATGTCCATTACTATTCGACCAACATTTATTGTATAGCTTCTAACCTCCCCACCCCAAAAAATAACCAAAAAAGAAAAGAAAAGAAATGAGAGTATATAACTACTGGATATGATAATTCTTATTGTTTGTATTCCTCGAATTTCACCCTTTAAACAAATGGTTTTTTTTTGTAACGTGTTTATTATATTTTCATCTACGAAATATAATCGGAATATCTATAAACTATTGAAAGATTGAATTTATCGATTTTTATCATAAAAACACTCATAGTGATTAAAATCGTATTCTGTTTAAAGAATGGTCTCCGATTTGAACCTAGACTTATGTATTCTTTAAAAAACATGATATATTTTCTTAACTATCTATATAAATGCCCTACAGTATATATTATAGATGCGTACATGGCCCGAGTTCATTGAAAACAATTTGCTAATTCCATCATGGTAGCTACCACTACGATTACGTTTCCAAGGCCAAAAGATAAAAAAAATATTATGGGTAAAAAAAAAGAGAAGGGAAAAATAAAATGAAAAATAAAAGAAATGGCAAAAAAGCCAAAAACACTAAAAAGATTATATATAAGCGCATATAACGAACCCACAAACCAGAACCCAACACTCGAGACCCACTCGTCTCTCTCTCTCTCTCTCTCTCTCTCTCTCTCTCTCTCCCTCTTCCATGGAGTTCCTACCGCTTCAAGCCCTAAAACTCCTCGGAAAAGGTGCCACAGGAACAGTCTTCCTCGTCCACGACGTCGTTTCGGATCCATCGGCTTCTTCTCCATTCGCGCTAAAGCTCGTCGGGAAATCTTCCTCTGCCTCCTCCCTCCGCCGCGCCCAGTGGGAGATCCAGGTCCTCCGCCGCCTAACCCACGACCCGGACCCCAACCCTTTCCTTCCCAACCTCCTAGGCACCGTCGATTCCCCTGCTTTCCTCGCCTGGGCAGTTCCGTACTGCCACGGCGGCGACCTCAACGTCCTCCGCTACCGCCAAAACGACGGTGTTTTCAGTTCCGCCGTCATCAGATTCTACTTGGCCGAGATCGTCTGCGCACTCGACCACCTCCACTCCATGGGCATTGCCTACAGAGATTTGAAACCCGAGAACGTACTGATTCAGCAATCGGGTCATGTAACCCTCACCGATTTCGATCTTTCACGAAGCTTTAAGAAGCTCGAACCCGACCCGGAATCGGAATCGGAATTGGACCCGTCCCGAAAGCCACAGCTGCGGAGTATCTCCCGTTGGGTTTCGCTACCGGCGAAAACAGAACCCAAAACAGGGTTGAAGAAGACGAGAACCGCGAGGGTTAACCCGTTGAATCGCCGGAGATCAAGCTTCTCCGGTGGAGATCGGTCGAATTCCTTCGTGGGCACCGACGAATACGTCTCGCCGGAGATTCTCCGCGGCGAGGGCCACGATTTCGCCGTCGATTGGTGGGCACTTGGGGTTTTGGCATACGAGATGATGTACGGAGAGACTCCGTTCAAGGGGAGGAACAAGAAGGAAACGTACGCGAACGTGTTGACGAAGGAGCCGGAGTTCGCCGGAAAACCGTCAGATCTGTCGGATTTGATGCGGCGGTTGCTGGTGAAGGACCCGACACGGCGGTTGGGTCGCCACCGTGGCGCCGCGGAGATAAAGGAGCACCGATTCTTCGCCGGCGTGAGGTGGGACCTTCTCACGGAGGTTATGCGACCACCGTTTATCCCGTTAAGAGACGACGGAGAGTTGACGGAGAAGTTAACGTCGTCATGTGGGTTTGATGTTAGGGAACATTTCGCGAGGCTGACGTCGCCGCCGTCGTCGTTGTCGCCGTCAGGTGCTCCGTTACAGTCTCCACCGCACGAGTGGCATAAAACCAAATCGTTTATTGAGTTCTGATCCACGTGTGGGAATCTGACCACGTTAAGAGATTTTAGATAATTCGTTTTTCTTTTTTTGCTTTTTGTGTTTATTTAGCTTTTGTTTTTTATAAATCGATGTATATAAAATAAACGTTACTAATCATATTATTTTTTCATGTTAATGGTACAAAAACACATGCCATAATTTAAAACTACAGGATTAGTTTGGAAACAAATATTGAGAGTTTATTACATCGAAGTATAAATGCATACATAATCACAAAAATAACCAGATATCGTATTTGATGAAATGAAAATTTCAGATCAATACATATTTCAAAAAAAAAAAAAAGCTTGGTTCTCTCGTCATGATTCCTTGTGATAATAACAATAATTATAATTTAGAAATTATTTGGAATATAGATTAGAATATAACAAAAGGAAAAAGATGGGAAGAGGGAATTGGATTCGATTCGAGTAATTTAAAGGGCGTTGAAAATTCTGCAATATATATATATATATATATATATATATATATATATAATATAAGTATTAATTTTAACTTCTTAATTCGGGTATAGTGATATATTATTATCTTTAAATTTCTGAAGTAGAACAAAAAAAAACAAAATAACAATGCACTAATCCAAATATAAGCAATATTTGACGTGTATATTCGAATATTTTCAATACATTGGGCATTCTGAAAAATGCATCGATCATTTTCTTCATAATGAAAATAAGCAAAAAAAAAAAGAAAAAAAAAAGAGGAGAGAACATGCATGCACGCAAACAAAGGTTAACGAAAAAGGAGCCAACGCAATCGTACCAATATGGCATATAATATTTTTTTTTGGAGCTCTAGGGTTTTACAGAGACAGAAAGATCGCAAGAAATAGAGAGAGAGATGGGGGTTCGGTTGTGGCAATGAGATGAACCGGAGTATATATACCTGTGAATAATTAAAGTGGACTATGTGATTATCATAATTACAGGGCCAAATTTGTCCGTAAAGCACGATACAAGATAATTACACTTGCTAACCGCATTTAGCCTAATTTAAATTAATAATTTTTTTTCTCCTTCCACATGGCATGTACACGTGGTACGCATAGTTTATAGAAATTTCAAGTGTATAAGATAATAGCAATATTTTTTTACCTTTATAATAAACTATAATTAAGTCATCCTCCTTGGTTTATTAATCATTCAAAAATATTATTGGTGGATGATACGTATGAGTAGATAGTTTGGGTTTATATTATATTTTGGTTATCTTATTTTTTCGATTTTCTTTATTATGTAAAACTAATATATTATTTTGTACTTTTATTATAAATTAAAATTACTAACTTTTAAAAATAATTGTTTTTTTTTCTTTTTATCCTTTTTTAAGAATTATAAATCGAATAAAAGACAAGATACGTTGGAATCATAGGTTATAAATCATTTTGAATTTTACCATATATGCTATAATAGAAAATGTTAAATAACTGATTTAGATGCAATGTATATGTTAAAGATTGACTATAAGGCTAGAATCTATATAGATGACCATTATTTTATTTGATAATATGGAGTACAATTTGTTAGAGATGTCGCTATAAAAAATCGAAAACGAATACGATACGATCCGAACTAAAATCGATTTATAAACCAAATAGATAAAATTTATCTAAAACAAAAATATTCCATTAAAAAAGAATCAAATTCAAATGAAAGCAAAAATATCCCTATTTAAAGAAAAGTTGTTAACACAATGTAGCTTTACATTAGAATATATCAAACTAATATAGATTTGTTTTAGAATATATCAAATTAGTGAAAAAAAAAACTTTGTGGGTTATCTTTTGAATGAAATGAGAAATATCCTTCCTAATTTGTTTTATATATATATATATATATATATAATATGTATTATTGAAGTTGACTGATGGGTCAAATATTTTCACTCTAAAGAGAGATTTTGGTTAAAAGGTGATGAGTAATCTTTGACCAACCATGTATCTTATTGAAGATTTGTAAATGTACAAATTATTGTAAATTAATATTTCATGACATTAATATCAACTAAGCCATTTTTTCTTTATGTATTTACAAATTTTCCGGTCAAAATAATATCACAAACAAATTACATTTGTCCTAGATACTCTATTTGATTTTTTTTTTTGTTTTTGTAGAATGGTAACAATATAATTTATCTGATATATCTATTTATAGTCCAATAAATAAAATGTAAACGAGATATGGATTTAAAAAAATTCTAATGAAATTGATTTCTTCTGTTCAATTTGAATAATTCAAAGATAAAATCTACTCGAAGTGGCACTACATAAAAAGACAATATAAAAAGAATTTGAGGGGCACAATTTCAAAGGCTATATACCTATTGCATGTAGGTTGTCATTTTTTCTTTTTATTAAAACGACAAAGAAGATTTATTTTAAATAAGAATGCATAAATAATGATTCGGAATAGGTTTTGGATGACATGGGTTAAGTTTGTTTAGATTTACATAAAAAACCGATTGACGAACTTAAATTAATTCTAAGTTTTTTTTTTACTTTATTCATAGTTCACTCTTTATAAAACTTGTTTTCATATATTTATTAACTTTTTTATGCTTTTATATTTATTTGTGTTTTATTATTTACTTTTATATTACCGTTTTTATTTGAACTTAAATATGAATTTTTGTATATAATTTAAAACATATTTTTTCTAGATCAAAATATCATTTAAAAAAGAGATATTTTTATATATTTAGTTTAGTCACTTGTTTGATTCGTAAGCTAAACAAATTAAATGATGAATGGTTATTTTTAATTCATTTAGAAATGGATTAAACTACTTTATACTCCAAATCACAAATCCGTTGTAATGTTGATTGATCCAGAGACTATCCATTTTTTACATCCTATATATATATATAACAATTAGTTGTCTAGAGAATGAGAAGTGACAAAGTCATCTCCAAAGTCTTGGTTCGATTCCACTGGTGAGAAAATATGTAATATGTAGATCAAAATGGTCCATATACAAAGGTTGGTCCCGAATCTAAGGTGGATATAGTTGAGTCGAAAGCCGGAAAACCATCCTAGTTATCAAATATATATATATATAATGAGAAATAGATTAATTAATCAAAAGAAATAAAAAAAAGGGGGCACGAGGGGGTTTTAATGCAAAGAAGGTGACCTCACGTGTTGTGTTTGGCGAAATCCAAACCCAGAAGAGAGAAAGACAAGTGCATGTGTTTATGTGTCTTAAGTTTTCAAATTAAGATTAGGATTTATGTATAAAATTATACAATTTCATATTGTTTTCCCATAAAATTTAAATAAGAACCGTGGCCATTGTTCTCGATACTTCACATTTTCTCTCTCTCTTGTTTGATCATGTTAAAAACGCATTAAAACTATACTTAACTTAACCACAAACGATCATTACTAGTGATAGAAGATATAACAATAATGTTTTCATCTTATATCGATCTATAAAATATTTTGAGATAAAAAAAATTCGGAACTAAACCAGTAACACTTCATTTTCCGGTTATTTTTGTAGTTATTTACATGCCTACTAAAAAATACCATGTATTTATTAATGCATGTGATTTGTGATACAATGAGTTTAATTTTTAAACACAATTTTTGAGACAGTAGACATAATAAGGGTCTTTATGAACGTTTTGAGAGTTCAAGGAATGAAACAAACTGTTTCTAAAGATTACGGCTAAAAATGGTATTTTCTAGAAATAGAAACGAAACAATGAATTAGGAAGCATAGATCTCTCCGACGGAAAGCTGAAAACGTCGAACAGAGGGAGAAAACCAACGAGCGAGAAAGCGAAAAGATTTGGTTTGGAATATCAATGGCGAATCTGCCTCAGTCTCTCTCAATGGGCACGCCCTTCGGTGGTCTCAGCTCGTCGGCTCAAGTTATGGCTGGAGCTCCGGCGAACAAAGATCGAAATTTGGCCTCGGCGGAACATTTGGTTCTCGATCTCAGCAATCCTGATCTCAGAGAGAACGCGCTTCTCGAACTCTCCAAGGTAATCTCGCCCTTGTCGGTTTCCTTCCTTAGAGCTTTAATTTGATTAGGTTTGTGGAGAGAGAAGCTAGGATTCATGAGGGGAAATTTGGGAACTTTTCTTACGATGAAAAAGGAGATAATTAGGTTTTGCTCGAATGTTTCAGTATCTGATTTTAGGGTTTTGTTCGTTGCTGTTATTGTCGTAGAAAAGAGAGTTATTTCAGGACCTAGCTCCGTTGTTGTGGAACTCTTTCGGTACCATTGCTGCACTATTGCAGGTACGAAAATTTATGCTCTTTGGTTGTTTTAGTAACTTTGTGTTTCCTTTTTTTTTGATAAATGCTCTTTGATGGGGTTGTGGATTTCAACCTTTGATGGGTTTGTGGACTTCATAGTGAATTATGATTTCTACCCTGTGATAGAGTTGTACAAATGGTTTCTCTTCATGCTTACAGGAGATAGTTTCAATCTACCCTGTTCTTTCACCTCCGAATCTGACTCCTGCTCAATCAAATCGTGTCTGTAACTCACTTGCCCTTCTTCAGGTAAAGGAATCTGCTCCAGATGTTTTCTTTTCTCTCTTTTGGGCCATTGGTATCCATCTTCTACTTCTAATCAAGCGGACTTTCTTATATAGAATGTTCATTTACAATTTTATATATATGGCAAATTCGTCAAATTGTTTGATTTACTTACTGTAATGCTGTGCTGTCTAACAATGCAGTGTGTAGCTTCTCATCCTGACACAAGAATGTTATTTCTCAAGGGTAATTTTCTAGCTCCCTTTTGGCCAGGCTAGCTTAATTAGGATGTATCTGCAGTGTTGTGAATGTCCAATGTACCATACCGATCTTTCTTTGGAAATTTTATTAAACTGTCACAGGTTGTTTGTTTTGTGTATATGTTTGATATTATACGATCTCTATCTATCTAAGGAAGTATTACTTTCTTGTCTGACCACTATTTGATGTTTTTATTTGAGGTGTTGTGACAAATGATGAACTCCATCTGAGGATATCCCGGTTGCTTTCTTGTTTCCAGCTCATATACCACTGTACCTATATCCTTTTCTTAATACAACAAGTAAATCAAGACCTTTTGAATACTTGCGGCTTACAAGCTTAGGAGTCATTGGTGCACTGGTGAAGGTAATAGATCTTGTCTCTTTGCTCTGTGGCTTATGGTTGTATAGGTCCATCTGAATCCAGAAGAATGGTTTCCTTTATTTGATCTCAAATCTTAGATCTTGAAGGACCGTATGTGGTTCAGCTAAAATCAGGTTGGGAAAAAAAAAAGTAGATTCCCTGCCAAAGTCTTCCTATGAAAGCACGTAATAGAATTTGTTTAGTATTGTCTTGGTTTCTGAAATCGATAAGAGGCTGGCAGATTTAGCTTCTTCTTTAGCTGCTTACGGCAAGATACATTAAAAAGAATAGATTTCGGTTCATCCAGTAGTTTGAATATTCCTCATTGTGTACTTTGCAAATTTTTTTGACCCGTATGCATCTGCTCTGACTGGATTAATAGGAAACTATTAAGAAATAATAACTTCTGTTAGTTTTATACCAGCAAAGCTTATTCAAATTTTGTGTTGAATGTCCGACTAGCCACAAGTCATATCTGAGTGATAGGCGGCATGGCATTGTGCTCCATTTGTCTTGGGCTATGTAGAATGAGCCAAATAATTTCCATTTGTTGAAAATGTTGCTGCTTCGATATTTAAAATAGCTTTTGGCTCAACGCATTCATTGATGTTGTTAACCAGGTTGATGACACAGAGGTCATTAGCTTCCTTCTTTCCACTGAAATTATTCCTTTGTGTCTCCGTACAATGGAGATGGGCAGCGAGCTGTCGAAAACAGTTAAGTGTTTCAACTTATAATCATCTTTTCCATTGTTTTCATTGTGTAATTGGCTTTTCTTTTTTCTATTGCCTATCCCAAAATTCATTTTGAGATGATTATTGCTATGATGCACAATGATGCTCGAATTTTTGGCATTCAACTACCTTCCTATATTGGTTGTCCAGATTCGAAATTATGAAATACTCTTCACACTTGATACTTTACAAGGAAATAAATGTTGGTCATTCTTACTGTTTCTTGTGACGAGACGAGAAATATTGCATCATTCTTATTATTTTCGGCTAGGAATCTGGCATCCTTATTGTTTATCCAAATTTCCTAAACAGAGGTTGGAGAATTCATGGAAACAATTGCATCAGTGTAATGGTATATACGGCAGAAAACATGCAATGGGCTGTGTGTATATATTAACGTGTTGTGATGGCAGGTTGCAACATTTATAGTTCAAAAGATCTTGTTGGATGATGTGGGCTTGGATTACATCTGCACAACGGCCGAGAGGTTTTTCGCGGTGGGTCGTGTCTTGGGCAACATGGTTGCATCACTTGTGGAGCAGCCCTCTCCACGACTTTTAAAGCATATCATTCGTTGCTATCTCCGTTTGTCTGACAACCCGAGGTCGGTTCACACCAAACAATTACTCAAGTCAAGAAATGTTTTTTTTTTCATTTATCTGTTTAGGCTTTTATGCTAAAGCTTTTACCTTTGTCTTCCCAGAGCTTGTGCTGCGCTAGGAAGCTGTCTCTCTGACTCGTTACGAGATGGAACCTTTAGCAGTTGCCTCCGTGTAAGTTCTCCACGGCTGAATCCGAGATTTGGTATTCCGAATTAATTTTTTTTTCGAGAGGGGTGTTTTTAGGGTTTAGTACGTGGTGGAATGGTAAGTAATGAAAGAAAGAAACTCTGGTTCTCAGGAGGATCAAACGGCGAGAAGGTGGCTGCAGCAGTTGCTTCACAATGTTGGAGTGAGTCGAGTCCCTCCACTTCAATCTGGCGGATTCGATCACATGCTCGTGAGCTGAATAAGGATCATAAAGTTTCCATTTTTTTCATGTGGATCGATGCGAAAATACTCTAGATTTCGTCTATTTGAAGATCCCGTTGTAAAGTTGGTTAGTATATTTCTGGGAAGGAAGCTTGTGGATTGACAAATAGAAAGAAGCGAGAATTGTGTGATGGAAAGGATCCTTTGCTTCACTGATGCAGAGTGCGTTCTCTGATCCCTGTTTCTGCAGCTTCTTTCAATCATGGTTCTTCTTCATTGTTTCTCACCAGTCTTACCATCTTCTTGTTTCTGTAGCTTCTTCAAACACGTTCACACATCTGCAAAGTCTTTTTTTTTTTTTTTCTGTATATCAGAATCAGACAACGTCATTCGTCGTGATCATGGTCTCGTAGCTTCTTAAAAGTCTAGGTCTTTGAACAAAAAAGGTTGTTCATAGGTACACTGAACAATCCAGTATTGGTTTCCGTTTACAGATGAGCAAAAGAAGAGAAACAAGCAGAAGAACACAACAACAGCCCCACCATTGTTTCAGAAAGAATTAGCGACGAGAATGGCTTGTCTACACCTTGCCTTAGCTTGTTCAAGCCTCTCACTCAAAGTCTCTTCCTTGACAGCAGCCTTGACCATGGCTAAATCCATCTCCATCAGCTTCAAAACCCTACAAAGCTCAGTCACCATCCGATCTTCCACCTCTCCTTCATCTCTCAGAACCTCGGCTTCCTCTCTCGCCCTCTCCGCCACTACCTCCCCAGCCTTCGCCAACAGCTCCGTCGATCCGAATTCCCTCGCCATTAACCCTTCGAACTTCTCCAAGAAGTCCATTATCACATACCCTTTTGGCTTCTCCAAGTTTATATCCTTCGTCCTCTTCCACCCGATCTCCAAGTTCGGAGGCTCCGGCTTCTCGAGCGCTGTTCTCCGTTTCCTCTCTCGTGTGATTTCAGATCTTCTCCGTTTCTCAATCGGGAACTTTTCGGCGCTCGTTGTGTTGATCGATTCAGGTGCTGGTGTTGGATATGGGAACGGTTCGTCTGGCACTGGAGGAGATGGGCTCGATGAGGATTTCAAAGCGAGCTTCATCGCTCGACGAATGTTTCGTGCATCGAGGATGTTGATTCTGGGTATTCCGACATTGTTGCTGCGGTAAATAGGGTTTGAAGAGAGGAAATGGTGAAAAGGAAGAGTGGACGCCATGGATTTGGCTGAGAGCGAGGTTTTTCATGGTGCGAAGAAGGGTTTACTAGAGGGAAGATAAAGGAAGATCCCGACGATAAGGATATTGGTTTTAAACATCGTGATGTTTTAAGGATTGCGACGAGAAACGCGAGTCGTTTGATACTCGCTAACAGTCCAATACAAAACCGGGTTGTACCGGTTTTTTGCATTATCCGGTTCTCGGTTCGAACCGATTCTCATCCGGTTTGTGCGGACCGGATGACTATAAATAGGAAGAATTTTTCTGTCCTTGAAAGCAAAATAGAAAATAAAATAAAAATCTCATCCCCTAATTAAAAAATGTCTCTCTCTCTGTCGTTCAACTGTCCTCGCTCCTCTACCATCTTCTCATCGTTCAAACCCAGAAATCCTTCTTCTTCTTCAACTGGTCGTATCTTCCACACCCAGAAACCTAAACCAGCCATCAAGAAACTCGAAACCCTAGCCGCACGAGACACCATTATCGGCTTCGGCAAGCACAAGGGCAAGATGCTGGGCGCGTTGCCTTCTTCGTATCTCAAATGGGTCTCCATGAATCTTCGCGCGGGCGATTCCGAGTTCTGGGCAAAGCTTGCAGACGAAGTGCTCGATGACCCGGTTTATCAGGACCGGATAGAGTGGGAGTACGCGGAGAAAATCCTCCATGGAAGCAATGAAACCATGAGAAATCTGGTCTCTTCGAAGAAAGAATCTGCAGATGGAAAGAACAGTGTTTCGATGTTGATGGAGATAAGCGAGAGATTTGGTTGGGACAACGAGGATGAGATCGGGTGGGGGAAGGTTGATTTCGAGCTTCTCGGGACGAGCAAAAGCGGTCGGATTCCTAGGTCAATACCAGACAAAAACGAAGATACCCAGAAGGTTGAAAGAAGAGAGGGTAAGAAGGAATCGGAAGAAGATGATGATGGTAACGGAGGGAAGAGAAGCGAGAGGAGGGAGAGGATGAAGATGAGGCTGAGAGAGGAGGGTGAGGGCAAAACGGGAATTACAAGACAGAGCAAGGGCATTTACGGAATTCCAAAGGAGCGGGAGACGTACAACCCTTTCCCTGGACGTGAAAGTCTCATGAGGAAAGCGCTAAACCGGAGAAGAACACTCCAATGACTCAGGCTCTCTCTTGTTGTGCTGTTTCCTGGACTCGAAACACCGAAAAAGATGCGATCCAAATACTAATATCGGTGGTCGATTGGTTTGGGTTTATGTTTGGGTTCGATGTATAATATGGTTAGACATGGGTTTCCGACATTTTGAGTATCCGCCCGATCCATAAGTTGAGTATCCGACATTTTGAATATCCGTGGGAGAGAACACGACTTTTGGGTACGGTTTCGAGTTTCAGTCAAGAAGTATTCGTACCTGTGGGTAACTGAGTCGAGGGGAGAGGGAGAGAGGGCGGGAGTGTGAGTGTGCAATGAGATCACGAGGATTCGAGAGGTCGGAGAAGACAAAGCCCTGCGTTGAGGAAGTTCAAAGAGATATAGGTTGAGGTATTGAGGAGGATCAACGGTTTAAAGAAAGGGCGAGAGACGATGTTTTCAATTCGAGAAATTCGAAGCCAAGATTAATACACTGAAAAACTCGTGTATCGGACCCGTGCCCACCCTCTAGCGGCTTTCCATTCAGAATGCAACTATACACAAATTCATGAAAACATGATCTTTAGTTACATTACATTGCAGGATATGCAAATGTAAGGATGATCCATCCATCTTCCTCAACAAGACCGTGGAAGCTGCAGAGTCTTGTCCTCCGTACAACACACAAGGCTGTAACCAGGAACTTTGCGGGAACTGTTCTCTTTCATAAGCTTTCTCGTCCTGAAAGCGTTGTCCCATTCGCCGACACCTGCATATATACCTGCCAAATTTACGTAGTTTACGGGTTTCTTCGGGTCCACACTCACAAGATTCTTGGCTGCTACTTCTCCGAGTTTCACGATCCCATATCTCCTACACGCATCAAGAAAAGCACTCCAAGCTGATGAACTCGGCTTCAAACCAGTCTTGCATATCAATTCATAGGCTTCTTCGAGATAACCCCCTCGTGCAAACAGATCCACGATGCAAGATATGTGCTCCTCTCGAGGCTCGATGCCGTACTTCCTGACCATGGTTTCGAAAATCTCCCGACCCTTTTCGGTGAGTCCAGAGTGGCTACAAGCAAAGAGGAGGGAAAGGAATGTGATGCCATTCGGGTTGATCCCTTCATTCTCCATTTTGTTGTAAAGTGAGATTGCTTGCTCACCATATCCATGTCTTCCATACCCTGCAATCAAGGATGTCCAAGATCTCACATCCTTCTGTTTCATCTCTTCGAAAGCGAGGGCGGCATCATTGATTTCCCCCGATTTCGCATACATACCGATCAGTGAGTTACCCAATGCCACATCGAATTCAGGCTGAGATTTCATGGCGAAACCATGGATTTGCCTTCCCATTTTTACCGATGCTACATTGGCGCATATGGTAAGCATCAACGACAGTATAACAACATCGACCCCTGTTTTCTTCCGTATTATCTGTTTGAAGACATAAAAGGCATTTTCAGCGGAGCCAGCTTCAGATGCAAAACCTCTAATAAGAGCTGTGGAAGAGATTACGTCCTTTTCCTTCAAGCTGTCATATGATTTCCGGGCATCGGCTAAGACACCACACTTTACATATGCATCGATCAGAGATCCATTCAGCGGATTAGATGGCTCTAAACCCAGTTTGATCGCCAACCCGTGTAGCTTGGTTACCATAACATGAGAGTTAACTGCAATACAAGCCCTCAAGATGCTCCAGAAGGTCAAGCAGTTCGGCTTTTTCCCTAAAACCAAGAAACAAGTCAATCCTTATCGTTCTTGGTGGAAGACCGAACATCGGTTAATCAATTCGCCCGGGCATGAATCAAGAGACAGTCTTATAGACATTGTTTTCAAATTCAAGCAAACCAGAAGCACTTATAACAACTGAAATCTGTAGAAGATGATAGATAATGCAGTACCTTCCCTTAGCATCGATCGGAACAGCTCAAACGAACTATCTGCCAAGCCTGCGGTGGTATACCCGTCGATGATTACATTCCAAGAAACTACATCCCTTACCTCCATTGAATCAAACAAGAGACGAGCATCTTTCATCATCCCAAACCTAGTGTGCAGACTAAGTAAAGCGCTCCTTACAATCAAATTCTCTGAAAACTTCCCCTTCATCACACATCCTTGTATCTGCAACCCTTCTTTCAGACATCCTAAACCGACACATGCCTTCAGGATACTCCCATATGTGTACTGATTAGCCCTAACTTGCCCTCGACGCATCTCCATAAACAACAGCAAGGCATTTCGGTGATACCCACATTGTGAGTACCCTGAAATCATAGCCGTCCAAGAAACCACATCCCTCTTGGACATTCTATCGAACACTTTGTGTGCATTGTCCATATCATACATTTTCGTATACAAGATCAACAATTGGTTGTTAAGCTGGAGATTTGAGCCTAACCCACTTGTTATCATGTGACTCTGGATCAAAAGGACATGCCTCTGGACGTCTCCATGGTTAGGTAGCTGCAGGGCTTTGAGGTACAAGGAAGGGTTTAAGTAGGGTTTTGGAACAGTTACAGCAAGATTTTCCGCATAACTAGCTAGCATTTTTCCAAGTAGGAGCTCAAACGCAGGGAAATTGATTGGAATACAGAGAAAAAGTGTGAATTTGAGAGATCTCGACCAACGAAGAAGAAAGAAAGAGGAGCTCTTGTGACCCTTCTGCTAAAAAAAATTGAACCAAAAAGACATTCCCTTTCGAGGAATTGAAAATGCAAACATTATGGTTATGCGCACCAAAGGCAAAATCTTGGTGAACCCTCTCTCTCTATATATATAGGATACAAAATTTTCTCACTTCCACTTGCAATATTTCATCTCTATGTATTCTATATACAGAAAATAATTTTGCTGGTAATGAACTATAACCTTGTGGGATTCTACTCTTCCTCCCATTGGAAATGAAAGGCATTTCAGATTTGGGACCTTAGTTTAGCCACTAAGCTCTTCATGCTCTGGAGCTTCTGGTTAAGTAGTTCGAGCTCATCCATGCGTTTTGCAGACAATTCTGAATCGGTGAAATCAGAAACTAGACCTGAGCACTTTGCTTCTAACTCCATTATCACCTCCTCCATGGAAGCGACTGTAGATTCCACGGTTGTCCGCGAGGTTTCTCTTGGTGGGTCTGATGATACAGCAAAGGGTAAGCCTCTCGGAGTACTGGCCCGGCTTTGGTCAGGGGAGAAGATCTTGTCAAAGCTTTCGCTTCCTGCAATGTAAATTCATTTCTGTAAATTCTGAGCTCCGTCTATATATGGAACATGAAACAATGAGAGAAGAACAGCTAAAATTGATATAAAAAGTTGCCTCTAAAGGATAATTTCCAAGAGAATTTTCATATCAAAGTGACATTGGCAAAGCTCTGAACTCTGATAACATGCTTCTTTTCAGATGGAATACTCTCTCAGGAACTGGAGCAAGTTACTCTATTGTCTGAGTGGAATAGAAAAGATTTTTCAAACAAACATACCAAGGTTGCTTAGATGATTCAGAGCGGCCTGGCCAACAGAGCCTTCGAGGTTCAGCACACGTATAACCCCAGCAACTATCCTTCCCATCGCATCGACTTCAGACTTGTACAAAGACATCAGATGTTGCAACTCATCCTTTGTAACCACTGCTTCAACCTGCAGAACATCCATAGAGCAAACATAAAAACAATAGTTAGAAGGGAAGAAATATTGAAGAACAAGGAACATAACTTCACTTACTGGTTGTCTGACAGAAAATTTGAGACTTTCAGCCACCCAGTTCAATGCATCATCATGAACAGAGTCATCATCAACAGATGCCGCTATATGAGCTTCAATATTTATCCCTCCCGACTTCTGGCCATTGTCGTACCCGTTTGCTAGAAAACCATTAGAAGTGCTGGCCAACTTCTGCACTTGGGGCTTCAATGTTTGGAGACCTTCTACACCGACCTGCAACAAGTTGTCCGAATATAAGTGCCTTATACTAACAACCAGAAACTTATTTTCCTCTTCTTCGTAGTATCCATGAAAATTCTCCTTCAGGTAACTTGGTTATCGCTAATAAAACTTCAAAAAAGGAATGGGAAAAAAAGAGCAGAAATTTGAGCATTGTAAAAGGAGGATCCTTACAATAACTGATTCTACAGGGTACTTGCGGCTGGCATGCAGATTTCCCACGCCATTTACATCAGCCTGCTTAGGTGTACTCTTTGCTGTTATTCGGAAATTCTGAAAAGTCGCATGCCAACACCTTTCTTCTCTTCCAATATCTTCATGATCGTTAAACCATCTTTCCGCCACGTCTTCACTGCCCTCCAAAGCAAACAGCCAATCTCTTAATTCAACAGACACATCAATGTCATCAGACATTCCCAAATGTGAGAAACCGCCACCATTCCAATTTCCGGAACTTCCACCTACATACATATATAAACAACAATGGTTAGGAAAAAGAAAAGCAGCCTGCATGAAGGATATGATTCACTTCACTACAAGAAATGCAGCAATCAAATTGGCTTCTTCCAATACCTTGTTTTACGTCATCAATTATAGATGCTTTAAAAAGTTTTGACAGAGGTCCAGAAGATAAATGCTTTAGCCCTCTTGAGAGCCCCTCTCCTGGACCACCATCAGCACCCAGAATTCCAAATCGATGCAATAAAGCTTCAGCATAGCTCATCCCTCCACCAAGGCGTACACCTGAAATGCAAGCCACGATGCTTAAACTGTGGCACTCTTTATCCTTTTCACTCAGAGGAATCACATGTGTTATGCTTATGTCCAGAAAAGGAGATGCAATAGTGCTGCTTCCAGTCCTTCGGTTTCCTCCATTGACAACCCAAAAGACAGGCCTCAGCTGAGTACATCCATTACTGCTAACCGGAGAATTAATGGAGCCATTCCCATCAGCATGTTTTCCTTCAGTTTCTACACAATCCACCTCAACGTTTTCCCAGTATAAGTTGGAGGATACAGCAATAGCACCTCCAAGGGTTCTATGAGCCACCTTCATGGAAAGACCTTTGCCAAGAAATTGAACAAGAGGCATTTCCTGAATACTAGTGAATGAAGACTCGAGAAACCTAAGCTGCAGATCATTCAATGCCAAGATTACAGCAGTATCACTAGGGACCTTCTCCATCAGCCCTCCAGTCAATGAAACAGTCCTATTCTGACGTTTGCTTTCTTTAACCACAGATATCTTTTCACCAACCTTACCAAAGTAAGCATAGAGGTCCAGAACAAAAAATAACTGTTCCACTGATGCATTCGATATATATTGCTCACAAGCAACCCCAACTCGAACAATACCACCAGGGGGAGGAATTATTTGCAGCGCCTTCCCGTCTGCAGATACCATTGCAACTTCAATCGAGACGTCTTTTGCTTCAACACACCTCCACAAGCCTGATTCCGGAGCAGGAGAGCTCTGGTTGGCAGTTGTTTCCAATGATAAACTAAAATGCGAAGCCCCGGCTCTCAATTTCTTCTGGCTGGCATCGATTGGTTGCCCTTTCCATAGACAGAAGCAAGCAGGATCCTTCTCCAGGTTCAGTAGCGTCAGTTTCAGAGTTGGTGACTCAGAAAAAGACAAGTTCTCAATGTGGAGCCTTGCTCCAGAAAATAACTTTTTCATGGAAAGGTCTTCTCTGATTGCTGGATCTTCCAAGTTACCTATGTCTAATGGAACAGAAACGTCTAATTCCTTGAGAGTGAATAGAAGGGAATTAACAGAAAAATCCGGCAAAATATCACGAGGGTTTACAATAATTCCATCAGCCAGAAAAGAGGAAATCCTTAAACAAGCTTCTTCCTGAAGGTGTACCTGAGAAGAGATAGGAAAAGAACAACAGGATGAAGAATTATCCATACAAAGAAAACTGATCTGCTTTAAACTACTCGAGCATACCATTAGTGGTTGGCACTGGATAACTGTCTTTGAGGCAAAATGCGGGGGTTTTGGGGAGGGCTTGACTTGAAGAGAATAGAGGGAGATCAAAGGAACATCCTGAATTAACTGCCACTGCTGGGTTCCTAGAGGATATATTGGAGGGCAAAAATTCTCGGCTGCCCATATACATACAAGAAAAATCATTATGTATAATATTTTAAGATTGACAAAGCCAATCATTCAAGACGATTTTAAAAAAAAAGTAGACTGCAATTGTTATTACCAAAATCAGGAGATGCTTGAAAATCTTCATCAATCACCTGCACAGATGGCTGAACCAGAGCACATGGAGACCGTGAAAAGGTATCCCTGTATTCCACCCATCAATATCCATCAATGCTAGACGATCAAATCCATGGAAGTGAGCACAGACATACACAGGCATGATATGTATATCTAAAGTTTTGGCCAAATTATAGCCTAATCACCTTAAAAATAGCCCACCAATCATGACCTTAGTCAAATAGTTAGCTGTTTCTCCATCAGAAACACAGGCCTGCAACAATATGCATCCAGACATCAAACATTCTGAAATAGTAAGATCATAATCCATTAAGATGTTAAGATTACAGAAGTTCACCAAAGTCGAAGGGTACAAAGTTCCAAAAAACATAAGATCATTCAATAGTGAAAACAGAGCTGATACAACTTCAGTGGCAACACGCCAGAAAAAATGGGACACAATTCCAGAGGAATGGATATATGGCATTCCATGCTAAGACTAAACGTCAATTTCTCACCATGGATAATACATGCTCCTTTTCTCAACTCATCTTTAGTTTACACACTTATACCATAAAACTGTACAAACGAGGATCTCTGGAATTTATTTTTGCATGTTCCACACATAAGATAATCGTCAGACACAATGTGAATAAAGATGGCTGGATCATGCATGCAACTTATTGAAGATCAAAGATCAATAAGATCATACCCGAGAAAAGAGGAGTGACTGCATCAGTAGTTCCAGCTGGAATTCTGTCAATTTTGGAAGGTAAATGTCAAATGAAACAAGACTAGCTAATATAATCGAATCGAAGCCTGATGATGCCAACAAAGTAAAGAAATCAGTCAGCATAAGCATAGTAAAGGAACTAACCAGCATCTTTAATGCAAAGAAATACATGGTCCACAACAATAGAGACGAGAGAACGCCCTGCTGCTTCAGTAGAATGCTGGAGGTATATCACCGAAGATTGAGAGTTCATTCATGTCGAAGTTTTTGTTCGTAAGTTAACAAGGAATGTCAAAATCAATACCTGCTGAGAGTCCACATCTCCTCGATTCAGGCAAACATAAAGTCCAGTCAAGAAGCGGAGAAGAGCACGCAACCCTGTTCCAGAGAATGAGGGCTTAGTTCCAGTTAACAACACGACATTTCAACTCCTAAGAGAATCCATCTTCAAACCTGGTTCACTTAGGGCTGGGCAGACAGCTTCTGTAATGTGTAACTGAACCTCAAGCCCAAGTGGATTGTTTAGTTCCGTTCTCTGAACTGTGATCTGCACAAGAGCTCACCATCAACACTCAAAGACAAAAGGCCATGTATGAAACAACTATATGCATTTGAGCATCCTACAATAATCCAAAATATATAATTATCAGAAGAGAATCAGCAACAAGTGCCAGACGTACATATGCTTGGCCAGAAATTCCTTCCAAAAAGCGTTCACCACCAAAGAAAGCTCGTTTTGCACCATCATCATCTCTAAGATTTCCTTCTTCAGACCGCGCTAAATTAGCTTCAGTGAACATATCAGGATGTGGCAGTAGATCAATTGATAAAGCTTCCCATTCAAGTTTCTAATAAGGAAAATGTAAGCATCATAAGTAGAAAGACGAGAAAACTCCATAGGACCATTATTTTCAAAGAATATATAACAGGAAAAGGAACAAGTAGCAAAGAAAGCGAGCGAATCACTTTGAGAAACAGAACTTGGAACCATTCCATTAAACATCAGAGAGCTGTGTCTATATTCTTCAGTAGCTGATTCTTGAACGTCCAAAGAATAAACAAGGAAAGCAGCTAATGAGCAGCATCAATACCTTGAACAAATAAATAAATCCTGTATTCGTGGAGAAGTCCCTCGCTTCTTTCAGATTTACAACCTGCAAGAGAAAATCCATTCAGAAATATGAATTCTCCAAGAAATGGTATTTCATTCATCATACTTGTCGATTACCTTCCAACTCTCATTTGTGGTGTATAGCACAAGGTTGCGTATGGTAATAGATGCCAGAGGTGCAGCCCTAAACTCAAAATAGAAGGGCATACAGTTATACATAAGCTACAATAGGCATTTCAAGCCGATTATAGAGTGAAAAGAGACTTAAAACAAATGGCAGTCACCACATAATTCTCATTTTTGGATTAGAGTCATAAATTAACTATATTCCTAAATAGAGAATATAGCAGAAGTTTTATAAAAGAACAATGCTCAGAGATGGGACTCCTCCCCACAAAATGAGATGGTAACAGCCTAACAGGTAATAGGTAGACACTGATGGGGCAATAGAATCTTACCAAGCTGCACCTCCTTCACTGTGAGCAGAACCTCGGGTTTCAAGAAGAAGATTGACGACTTTAACGTGTAAAGTCATACCATCTGCAATCTGATAAAACAAAAACAACTTGCCGCATAAGTGCCTAGATAAGGGAGACTAATAAACTTATATACCCATGGGCTCAAACAGCACCAGGACACTTCAACGCAGTGACAAAACAGCTCCAAAAAAAATCAAGTGAAATCATATGCTTTGGGGTGATCACCTAAAGTAAAGGGTGAGATCAGTCTATGACTGATAACAAGTAAATTTCTAAAGCACCTACCTAACCCTACTTTTGTTGCAAATCGTCACCTCACAGCCTCTTTCTCAATCTGTAATCTTGCTTTTTAGGCACATTGTTAAACTAAAAGTTACTCAACTATGTTAAAAAATATTTTTAGCATTTCTGATTTCTCTACGTAAAATGCCTTAAGTTGACAAGGAGATTCCCCTCTTTCCATTTACAAAAACATTATTAAAAAAAAAATGGTCAGCGAATTGATTTGTTTATATGCAGCAGAAATCTCAAGTTAACAACTAAAACAAGATAGACTACTAATCCACCATGCAAGAGGCTACTAATGCTGTCATGCAGCACCACATGCTTTATGCTCGAAAATTTCGGAACATTAACAAGAGTACCAGCAACAACTAACCTTATCAGCAAATCCATAACCACTACTTTTTGCAGAGCCGGTGGGTGACTGAGCACTGCACGCACGATAAAACGGGATTAGTGACATTATAGGAAATTATATAACCCTAACTTATATATCAGCAGAATTTACAAACATGCTTAAAGAACAGTAGTTTTTTCAAACCTGTTGGGACCCTTCTGAACATCAGAATTTGGATTTTCTTCAAGAACAAGATCGATTCTATCAATCTGCACAACTATGGGCTCTGTTTGCACATTACTGACATATGGAAGCTATTTAAGGGGGGAGGACACAAGAAGAAAAAGAAATAACAACAATTAGTCCTTGTGCGAGAACAATGACAAACGCAGCCAAGAAAAGAGAAACACACAGAAAATGTTTCCTCATAAGTTCGTACCCCCATGAGAGTTAGATTATAAATCAGTAACATATCTATGACTCCAGGTAATAAACACTACCCTTACATCTCCGAACAGATAAATGCGAACACTCTTTTCTCATACTTCTCACTTGCTTATAATCTTAAAATGAGGAATGCATATACATACTACAGATATAAACTAGTACTGAAGAGACAAAACTGCATCAGAATCTACATAAGAATTATTTCGGAGGACCAACCAATACAAACCATTTACTTAAACTGTCACATGTAAAAAAACTCTTATATCTTGAGAAACCTAAGGCTTATCTTCTTGGGAATCCTAAATCCATAGCAGGTGAAAACATCGAAATGTAGAACTGAGTTCTTATCTGAAAGATGCATCTAAAAATCAACAAGAACTTGCGCTCAAGAAAGGAGAGAATTTCAACCCAATTAAATCCAAAGTTCATGCAATAAATTCCCAGAATTTGCAGCTGATGCTCGAATCGTATCCTCTAACATCAAAATGTTCCTCAGATAGAATCGAAAATGCAACACATAGAAATCAGAAGAAATCATCGACCATGATTTCCAATTTTCCAACTTTTGCCGTGGCCACACTCAGAGCTGGTGGCAAACCCATACTGGCATGCAAAGCTTCGCCATTGATATCTGCCCAAAATCATCAAATGAGAAACAAAAATCTTCCGACAAAACAACCGTTGATTTTCGTCCGGAAAGTAAAAAAGAAGACAGACCCAAATTGGAAAGCTGAGCGGTACGGCCCTGCAACTTGAACTGATCTCTGGTAAACGATTTGAGCCAGTACTTGAGAGTATACTCCAAAGCGCGCGCCAAAATCGACTCCATTACCAATAGCTTCCAGATCAACGACAACAAGAGAATCACCTCATTGGACTTGGGATTTCGATCTGAGATCAGGCAGTTCGGGTTTGCGTAGGAAAAAGCGAAAGGAAAACCGTGGAATCGAGAATGTAGCTTTGTTCAGGGCATACAAATCGGGTGTAATAAAATCATAAAGCGTATTTTTTTTTTATTTTTTGGGCGATCTGATGAAGAAGAGAGGAATCTTGAGAGACGTGGGATGGGAGCCTCGGGGAGGAGGAAGAGGAAGGTTTATTCGCACGGGCGGAAAAAATCGGTTCACACGTGTCAAGTATGTCCGACCGAAGGCGTATATGGATGGATGGAGTGGCTCGGTATGAATGTCAGAAAGAGACATGTCGGTTTAATATTTTTTTTCTACTTATTGAAATCTGATCGTGTAGCACATTTATTATCCGAATCTATATAAAAAAAAGTTATACTCTAAATTCAGATGTGTTATATTAGATATTCGTAATATTCGAAATGAAATTTTCAAATGTAATAGATAATTTTTAGTGTTATTAAGCATAAGAGATATTTTGTAATTTTTTTAAGACATTAAAAGCAATTCTAAACCTCTATTCAGTTGCAGCTAAATCACGAAATAATTTCATAATTTTTTCGTCAAATATTTGATGAAAAAAAATTAAGCATCTAAAATTTTTATATAAATTTTAAAACAAAAAATAACAAATAAAAATTAAATTTAACAATAAATGTTAAATTTATTAAGCGAGCTCCAAGAAATTGAATGAACCTCTTGAGATCTAGGTTACTAGGTAATAGCATCAGTTTTCCCTATAAATCCAAAATAATCTATCCAAAAAATATTGGTTTTCAAATCTAAATTTGTATATCCAACAAAAATCAAATTTTTAAGACGAGTTCAAATCTGATTTTGGATTAGCTCAAAAATTCAATTTATTTTTTTAAAATTACAAAAAATATATCATTACACAACTAAAGATAGTAAATGGTTCGATCCGATCCGATCCAAATCCAAATTTTATAAAACTGGATCAAACTTGGTCCTATAGACCCAAAAAAATTTGAACTAACTCAAACTCGAAACTCTCGGGTCGAATCTAGGTTCGGGTCGACCCATTAGACACCTAGATTCTTCACCGAGGATTCTTGTTGTCTGTTTGCAACTCAAACCCCTATAAAGGCCAAACAATTGAAATCTGAGCATCACAAAACAGAGCCTTTTTGTTTGTTGATGATTTCCACAAACAATGCCAATAGAGAGTGAAGAACAGGGGGAGAGACGAGGGAATCTCTGGTTTTTGGAAATTCTAACAGCGGACAGTATCATATGAACATTGATTGATTGAAATATAAAAAATACCCATAATAACGACGAAGAACAGAGGTTGTACACCATTAAGCATGGGAACAAAACCTACTCCTACCCTAATCTAAATCTAATAACCTAATTGATATCAGGACAGATCAAGAAGAGAAAACATTAAAAACTACAGCGGAAAGACAAAAGGATCGAACTTTGTGATGCCCTTTTACATTCTCTATGGAGGATTTAATCTTCGTCTGCTGTTTTGGATGAGCCGCCGGTCTTCTTTGGAAGAAGAAGATTGTGGATGTTGGGCATTACACCTCCACTCGCAATCGTTACATCACCAAGCAGCTTGCTCAGTTCTTCGTCGTTCCTCACCGCTAATTGAATATGCCTCGGCACAATCCTCGTCTTCTTGTTGTCTCTAGCCGCGTTTCCGGCCAATTCAAGCACCTGCAACAGAAACACAGTTTGTATATTTAATCGACACAAAGTTCGGAAACCCTAAACCCGAATTGAATCCGGCAACAAACACAGATACTAGAGACATCGATGATGAAAAACAGAGGATTAATACCTCGGCGGCGAGGTATTCAAGAACGGCAGCTAAGTATACCGGAGCTCCGGCACCGACACGTTCTGCGTACTTGCCGGCTTTCAGAAAACGTGCGATACGGCCGACCGGAAACTGGAGACCGGCTTTGCTGCTTCTCGATGTCGCCTTCTTCGCCGTCCCTGAACCCAGAGTTTTGCCACGACCCGCCATTGGAGCAGTGTGAAGCTCGCTGTGAAACAGAACAGAGGAAGGAGAGAAGATTGGAAGGAAATGAGAAAATTTCCAGACGCAACAGGACGAAGTAATATTCGTGGAAACGACGATCTAAGCTATATATATTGTGTGGAAATATGCCTCAAATCGAGGTAAACCAATGGAAAGAAAGCACAAGGATCGAGATTATAAACCGTTAGATTGGACAACAATCGACGGTAGATATTTGAGATTGAGAATCCATGCATCGCGTGCCGCGGAAGAACTTGAGGTAGAGAATTGACATTAATACCCTTACGAATTTTTTTTGTAAGTTGTCCTGATCTTATTTATGACGTCAGTGACACGTGTCATGTTCCTTTTTTGTAAGAATAAAGGGAAAGCCAGAGCTTCTATATCCATTTTTTTTTTTTGGTAAAGTTCTATATCCATTATTCAACAAGTGTGTTCGAGTTATGAACATAAAGAATTTAAAGCATACATAAACTGTTAAACATATAGTGGCGAGCATAAAAAAGAGATGTAAGTGGGGCTAATAATTTTATCACGAGGTATTTATTATAGATTTATAGGGGCATTATATATTTTATAAAATTAAAAAATTAAAAAAAAATTTAATTACACAAAGGGTATGACCCATTAATTTACAAATAGATTCATATGTAAACATAATTTTTTTTGATAATTGGTGATGTTTCGTGGAATTCGAACCCTGGGTGTCTCACGTCACTACGTTACTATTTCTGTACTCTGTAAATATAAATCGATGGATCTCTTATGAGAAGTTATTACCTATATTGATAAAAATAGTAATACGTCGTCTAAAAAACTATATCAACATAAAATTTATTAATTTTTAAAATATCAATCCATAAAATTTATTTAGTTCGGGTACAGTAACATATAACACATTATATATATATATATATATATATTCTAATTTGAGATGGATTAGTCTTAATACCTTGAACGTTGGTGGTTTTGTGGATCGGACAATAAGAAGGTTTCTGCGGTAAGTGCTCTCGACACGTTCAAGATATATTCATCTTCTTAATAACCTCAAAATTAGTCCACTATTATTGCCATTAATATAAACGAATTATTTTATTTTTATTAATGCCGACCAAACCCCAATTCAAAACCCTTAATAGGTTTTAACCTATCTCTGTAATTTTATTTCATGTTTTCAATTTATCTCTATATTTTTTTATAAGCAAGAGCGTTGCTCGACTCTTCGACTCGACTATATCTATCTTAAATATGAATTAATCTTTGTATATAGATTATTTTGGTCTAAAAATTATTTTTATTGGGTAGGTTCTGTTCGTTTCATTCTAGTTAACAATAATAATAATAATAAAAATTAAAGTGAAATGAGATTTTTTAATCAACAAATGGAACTGAGATACATTTCAGTTTTTAAGTGAAGTAAGCTATTCACGGTTAATAATGTGTGGTCATATTATATTTGTTATTTTGCTGGCTTAATTTTCCCGGAGAATCGCGGCACGTAAAGAAAAATTTTCCAGGAAAATATGCATTCTTGAAGATAAAACACTCGACAGCGATGCTATTATGCGATGGATCCCTCGATCAAACGTCAAACCCATCTCTCCTCCAATCCAAGCTAATCTCGTAAATAAAAGAATCCTATATCACCGGTCTCCATCCTCTTGCCGCGTGTAGACTCTCTCTCTCTCTCTGCCGAGTGGGAGGATCTCGGAACTGAGTCGTTGTCGGGTCAGCCGTTAGTTAACGACGTTACCTAACTCCGTTAGCACGCGCCACACTCGTCCCTCGCGTCCTCTCTCTCCGTTCACACATGTCCGCGGTGCAGAATCATCTTCCCTCCTTATATATATATATCTTCTCTTGTTTCGATATATTCCTTGAGAATCACTTCTCTTCACCTTCGACCCCAAATCCAGATACTATTTAAACAAAAAAACAGAGCAAAGTTCCGACCTTTTTCAAAACTTTGGTGAGAGGCGTTCGTAAAGTTCCGAGCTTTGATGCGAAGAACAGACAATTCGTTTGGTTGCAGAACACCCAGGTGATTTCCAGTATTCGAACCCACTTTTTCTTTCTTCGATTTCTAAGTTTTGGGTTGTGTTGTGATTGCGTTGGTTTTCTAGTTTCAATACGCTGTAATAATGACTGTTCTTTTCCACTGGTGGTCATGTTGTTGTTCTTGGAGGCCGGTGGTTTCATTACAGAACACGAATGAACTAACGACGAGTCAGTGCTTTGAATTAGGGTTTTGGCTTCGATGGGTCTGAAATTTATGGCGGGTTTCGATTTCTGGGCTTAACTAAAAGAATACCAGAGAGGATCAAAGGGTTTTAGATTTTGGATTACAACCGTTCTGTTTCAACATAGAAAACTAGAAACATGCTCTGTTTTGTATCTATAATAGCCCCCACGATCTGCTCTTGAGATTCTTCATTGATGCATAAGAAATTCTGGTTTTTTTTTTTTGGAAGAATTCGAATCGAGAGGTTCGACGTTTGGCATCTTCGATTGTGTATTCAGCCATGGCAGAGTGGTGTACGAGGTCTTGTAAACATTGAAAGTGAAGCTATAAAGAAAACCTTATGAACAGAATCAGTTGAACAAGAAATGTTTGGTTCTTTTTATCATTTGATTGGTTATTCACAAGATGTCTGTCCTTAATTCTGTTGCAGAGAATATAAAACAGATAATTTCGAAAGCTTTTTCAAAGCTGATGGTGTCGTGGGTTCGGATCTTTCTTGCCAAATCTCTCGTGGCATCGATGGCACTCCGATAGCATATACATACGAGATAATCTTTCATGACACTGTACCGTTCTTGTGATTTGTCCCAAGGTTCTCCGCTGGTACAGGTAGTTGAATGTGCTCGGGATCTCAAAGACGTTTTACTCGAACTCGAGATTCTCCTCATGAGCTCCGAAGAGGAAGACGGAGGGAATGCTAAGCCGAGGTCTCAGGCATGGATAGAGGGAAATGGGAATTTTCCGAGTAATCTCAGGCAACTCCTGATAGAATGTGCCCGAGCTTTATCCGAGGATAGAATCAACCATTTCGACATCTTGATCGAGAGGGCGAGATGGATGGTTTCCATCACTGGGGAGCCGATCCAACGGCTTGGAGCTTACTTGGTGGAAGCCCTGGTGGCGAGGAAATCAAGATCGGGATCGAGCATATACGAATCCCTCCGATTCAAAGTCCCAAAAGGCATAGACTTGCTCTCGTACATGCAGATTCTCTACGAGATTTGCCCGTATCTGAAGTTCGGGTACATGGCAGTGAACGGAGCAATCGCTGATGCCTGCAGAAATGAAGAACGCATTCATATCATCGACTTCCAGATCGGTCAGGGAACACAATGGATCACGCTCTTACGAGCATTAGCCGCCCGACCGAGCGGCCCGCCTCGTGTCAGAATCACGGGCATCGACGATCCACTCTCGAGGTATACCCGAGGGGGAGAAGGGTTGAAGACCGTGGAACGAGGCCTCGCCGTTCTCTCCCGAAGATTCAACATCCCCATCGAGTTCCACGCCATCCCGAACCAGTCAGTCCTGAACATAACGGTCGAAACGCTCGGCCTTAGACCGGACGAAGCCCTGGCCGTGAACTTCCCTCTCCACCTTCATCGCACGCCGGACGAGAGTGTGGACGTGAACAACCCTCGAGACGGGCTGCTCCGGACGGTGAAATCCCTCAACCCGAAGATCACGACGGTCATCGAGCAGGAATCGAACACGAACACGACCCCGTTCCTGACGAGATTCGCGGAGACGATGGATTACTACTCGGCGATGTTCGAGTCAATCGACGGGATTCTGGCGAGGGAGGGGAAGGAGAGGGTGAACGTGGAGGAACACTGCCTGGCGAAGGACATAGTGAACGTGATCGCGTGCGAAGGGAGGGAGAGAGTGGAGAGGCACGAGCTCCTTGGGAAATGGAGGTTGAGGATGACAATGGCGGGTTTCTCGAGTTACCCTTTGAGCCCATTCGTGAACTCTGTGATAAGATCTCTGTTGAGTTCTTACTCGGCGAATCACACATTGATGGAGGAAGATGGAGCCTTGCTTTTGGGTTGGAAGCAGAGATATCTCATCTCCGCCTCCGCTTGGCGTTGAAATTTATTTCTCTTTTTTTCTTAATTAATTGTAGATTATGTTAAATTATTTAAATTTGTCTTGTGTGTAGTATTGTTATTTGGCAACATTAATTATTTCCTTTTGTAATAAAATCATCAATTCAATCAAGAAAGTAAATATTACAGCAGAAGTATCCAACTCTTAATTAGAAATTAATTTGATTCGAATTGGGCGGATATAACTGTATCTGAATTAAATTTGATATAATTTTATATATATGTATAAATTCTATACCCAAGTGTCAATTATAAATTTCCCAAATTCAAAACCCTAATTTTGTACGGTGTCATTTTATCTCCAAATGTTCTTGTAAGGTTTAGGCATCTCAAGATTGGGCCCAAACTATACTAAATGAAGAACAAAGCCCAATGAATAGCATTCGTAGACAGGGTTTCTGACTGTTCGATTTCGATCTCCCCCTTTGTTCTGTCCTTTTCTCCTGAAGCGAGCAAAAGGCGATAAATTTAGCCGAACTTCACTTCCGGCGAGAATCGGAGGCCGATACCCTTCTCGGGTTCTCTCCCTTTTGTATTGGGTTTGTCTCTATTGTTCTTAATTTGGAAGAAGTTGTTGTCTTGTAACTTGTTCTCCCCCCCCGAGACAAAACAGAAGCCGAGTTCTACACCCACGAAGTAGCTGAGGCTTCCGTAACTATACAGACATCCTTAATTTCGTGTTTTTTTTGTTACGAATTTGGTATGAACCGAAAAAAACGAGAACTCCCTGAATCTCCCTCCAGCTCGGACCCTCCTCCTCCTCCTCCTCTCCGACACCAAAAACTCAATCCCGAAGGTTCGTTGTTGTTACCCTTTGGGGTGGAAAATGAATCTGGGTTGTTCTTTTTTTTTTCCCTGTTGATTTGAATACGATCTCTTTGTTATATATCCCTATTTGCCCTGAAGTTTTTGAGGTGACCGGAAGGAAAGTTTAGTGCTTTCTTGTTCAATTGCCCCACTTCTTGTTTTTCTAAACGTTTAGAAAGCAAAGCATTTGGTCTGGAGCTGTGATGAATTGAGTTTTGCCTCCTTGTTGGTTTAGCTCACATCTTAATTGGGTTATCATCTAGTTCTTTTTCACATTCTACATAGGCCTCGCCTGGATTTTATGGAGAACACAAGCACATACACAACGAGCAAATTGAATGTTCTTGCAGTTTTTTTTGGTTCAATGAGATATGGTTTCACTGCCTAGAGATGATTTTTGCACTGGTTGCTGTAATTGTATCTGCATTAATGATCGTGGCATCATTTGAAAAGAAACTACTGAGAGTATTTAGGTGCGATTTGATGTTGGATGATTCGAGAGAGATAACTCCAGGAATGTGTAACAATCCTGTTGAATAAGCCTTTAAACTTGTTCTTTTGATTTTGCATCAGGTGATTCTCAGTTTTTGGATGATGAAAACACAACGAACTTTACCCGAAGAGTAGCTGAACACTACAGCCGGAGGACGAACCAAACTTTGGAGGAGCGAGAAGCAAGTCCTATCATTCATTTAAAAAAACTTAACAACTGGGTTCGTCTCTTTGCTGTGGTTTTGTTATCTGACTGTGTAAGATCTTTGATTGAACATGTTCTTTTTCTTTTGCTTCATCTACAGATTAAGAGTGTCTTGATCCAGCTTTATGCTCGCCGAGATGATGCTGTTCTGGACCTTGCGTGTGGGAAGGTTTTCATTTCTGATCGACTCTGCATTTCTCATGTTGAGTGCTATTTATTAAACCATGTTCATATCCATTGCTTTACTGTTTTCAGGGTGGTGATTTAATCAAGTGGGATAAGGCGAAAATTGGGTACTATGTTGGTGTTGATATCGCTGAAGGCTCGGTACATGACTGGAATTGCTTTAGCTGGTTTACTCACCTTCATTACTTTTTTTATCTGTGCATTTGTAAATGGTTCTATTTTTCATGAAATTTAGATAGAAGATTGTCGCAAACGGTATAATGGTGATGCAGATCAAAATCAACGTCGTAAAAAGTTCAGTTTTCCTGCTCGTCTAATTTGTGGGGATTGTTTCGAGGTAAGTCAGAAAGTTTCTTGGTCCAGTAATAGTATGGGAGTTTCAAAGTAAGAGAAAAACAAGATCACTTTAGGACTCTCGTTGAGATATCGAAAGTGATAGCAACAGATTTCCGGGTGTATATGTTGCAACAAACCGGGGTTTTACGTTTCGTGCATGGATCAAACATTGATTCGATTGTTAGGTTACTGATATAAGAGCCTCTCTTTTTTTTTCAGATTGAGTTGGACAAAATTCTTAAAGAGGATGCTCCTTTTGATATCTGCAGTTGCCAGGTTTTAATATTTATTTGCTTCAATCATCATTATTTCAGTTACTATTTGTGGTTGACATCCCAAATACTGAATGATGGGACAAGCTCTAAACGAGTATTTGATTTTACTGAACACAAGAGTTTTGCTATAGGCTGCGATTGTAGATTTGTTTTCCCCAGTTACTGGCAGTCATGTCAAACCAAATTCATTTGGCTTTCTTCCAAATATCGGTTTGAACTGTTATGCCTTTGATGCGCTGAAAGTTTGAAACGTAATTATATCTTGGGTTTAGTGAATTATTGTTGTTTGTGAAATATATATTCTGAATTATAAAGTCGTCTAATTTGTAGTTTGCTATGCATTACTCTTGGACTACCGAGGAACGTGCAAGGCGAGCCTTGGAAAATGTTTCAGCTTTACTACGCCCTGGAGGCATCTTTATCGGAACAATGCCAGATGCCAATGTTATAATTAAAAAGCTCAGAGAAGGTTTCTTTTCCTCATAAGCTATTTCCTCAAGTGCTACACTGTTCTCTCTGCATTTCAATTCAATCTTTATATAGGTTCTGGTCATTACTTCTGGGTTTTGGATTTTAAAACCCAATTCATATATATATAATGTGAGATCAATCCAATTGGGATTTTGTGTAATCCATGCAAGAATTATCTCTTAACAATTTGGCCAAACATAACCTGGCCCTTTATTAGTTGAGGCATGACTATAACATTTTTTTAGTATTCAGTGGAAAAACATGAAGTTTATATCTTTATGGTATTAGAACCTACCCCAACTCAATGTTCACTTGTGACATGGCTTGTTATATTTGAATCACTGTTAGCTTATTCATTGATGGTTGATATTTGTAAATACTATGAAACCCAAGTTTTCGGGATATAGGAGTTTGTATGTTGGAATGTGAATGCATATCCTTGACGCTATACACAATCTTGTTTAGGAGAAACTGCTAGTTCTACCTTTCTTTGTTCATTATGGACGATTACATTGTGAATATCGCAGCTGAAGAATTGACGATTGGTAATAGTGTATACTGGATTCGTTTTGACGAAGAGTATTCTCAAAAGGTGGTTGTTTACCTCTATAACTACAAATTTTACTGGTTTATCTTCGTTTATATTTAATAGGATTCGTTTTCTTCTGGCCCTGAGGATGATTTTGTCGTATGTTTCAGAAGTTTAAAGCTAGTAGTCCCTTCGGCATCAAGTACCTGTTTCATCTAGAGGTACAGAATTGATTTTTAAGTCAATTCAAGCTTTCGCATATAATTACATCGTTTATTTTTTCAAGAAACTTCCTAAGATTTTTATGTCGCAAAGCCCATATGACACGAGATTCCTGCATTGTAGGATGCTGTTGATTGCCCCGAGTGGATAGTTCCCTTTCATGTCTTCAAGTCTTTAGCAGAAGAGGTAAAACTATCCTATTGGATTTTTCTTCCTCTTGCTCTCGATCATGTGCATATACACCCACTGCATATGAAAATATCCATACACAACAAAGACAAAATGCTAGAGTCGTTGCTCTAGTTTTCCTTGTCCACTAGGTTGGCGTCAATTGTATAATTTGGATTCTTTTAGGGATCAAGGGATGGGAAAGGTGTTGAGGAATGAATGACGTTCATCCTAACCACGGAAAAAGAATGTGAATTAGGGTTTAACACACATATGCCGCTTTTGCATACAATAATGATGTTTCTCCTCTCACAAACTTGATCGCTCCATGTTATCACCGACGAAAAAAATTGGTTTTTGACATCTCTAACGTGGCCCCTGTACTTTTATCAGTACGATTTAGAGCTTGTACTGGTCAAGAATTCACATGAGTTCGTGCATGAGTACATGAAAAAGCCAGAGTTCGTGGAACTAATGAGGCGGCTTGGTGCCTTGGGGGACGGTAACCAAGATCAGAGTGCGTCCTCTACTCGGTTTTCGTTTCATTTTCCCGAAATTCCTCTCAATACCTCGCCTTCTAAAATCGCACGGTATCACTATTTTCAGGCACGTTGTCGGCGGATGAGTGGGAAGCCGCCTATCTCTACCTCTCGTTTGTCCTGAGGAAGGTCGGTTCAACGTTTTCAGACCCTTTTCACGAATGCATTTATATCGTTTGGCCCGTTGTTCGGTATGGATGTAGTAACGGGAAAACGGGTAAAAACATAACTGTGATTGATGATGAATCTGCGGTTGCAGAAAGGGCAATGGGATGGGGCTCAAGCGAGAGGGCGTAGTAGGAAGAACGGGAAAATGCATTTAAAAGAGGATGACATTTCTTACATCAGATCAAGCAGCGAGACTTAGTGTCTCTAACACAAAAAAAAATGTTTCATCAAGTGAGAAGAGACATGTTCTTGTAATCTCTCTTTGTTGTTGTTTTGGTCCGTTTTTATAATGTTTTTTTTTTTCAATTTAATATTGAATTTCGACAAAATAGATAATAGAATTGTGTCGGAAAGGATTGGAAGATGTACATTTGCCTCGAACTATCTTGATGGCGTCATTGTTATATTTCGTTTGAGGTCGAAATGCAAACACATGTATCAATCTCTCAACTGTTTTTTTTTGTTTGTTAATTTTCTCCATTTTCTAACGATAAGTAAAGATTAATTGTACGATTAAATTTTAATTAGAATGATTTTAACTGTAATTAGAGAGAATAAGAGCAAGATGCTGCTGAAACGAGCAAGTACGGCGAGGATATGATTGTGAAATTGAAAATTAAATAATATGATGAAACAATCGACCAAGTGGTCAATAATTGTATTTAGCAAAAATAAATAAATAAAGGTTTTTTTGTCACGTTGTGAGTAAATTGACGTTAAGACAGAACGCTAAATTCCATTTGTCTCTTCAAAGTGGAAGTCTTAGCTGGTCTTTTTTTTTACGTTGTAATTAATCTTAGTGCTTAATACTATATTAGATCCTATAGAATAAATATATATATATATGTGTGTATTAATATTCAATTACTAAACCCATCTAATTAAAACATACACACACATATATATATATATATATATATATATATATTTGATGAGATTTAGTAAAAGAGGTGTAGTTTTTCTATTTTAGTAAACGGAAAAAAAATATAAAATGCTTGATATTTCCAACAATTTTATATTTTCTCTAACTGTCACAATAGCATTTAGCAACAATAGAAGACCTTATGCAAAAAAACAAAAACAATAGAAGAAAAAATTTATTGAGTGTAATTCAGTATTGGTTAAATCAAATAATCTCTCTATTAAATAAAAAAATAAAGTAAAATATTTGCATGTAACGTGAGTTTCGATTACATTATAGTCTATGTGAAGCCACAGATACAATGTACTGAAGTCTACGTCGTTATTGTAGCAATTTGCAGAATGATATTTTTATTGATAACCAAAATAACATATAAATAGATAAAAGTCTTATATTGAATAAGTAAAGTAGACATAATGATAAATATTTCTAAATATATATTTTCCAGATTTGAAGATCTCCATTATACGATATATCTCGTAATATTCTTCAAGATCCGGTATATCTCAACATCCCCTTCAAGTTGGAACGTGGAAGATCACTAAACGCCCAACTTGCTGAAAAGATGATCAAACGCATGCCGCTTGAACCACATCACCTTGCGAACTTGTGTCAATAAAAGACATAATTGAAAGAAAAAATCAAACAAACGACTGCGCTGCAACTTTGGCACCACGCACAAAAGAATCGTTCGATGATAATAGAAAAGACGACAATTGCGGTGCGAAAAAAAAGTCTCGGGAATAACTCTGATTCATCCGAGATTGAAAGGAACTACACAAAAGCGTTTAGTGACAACAAATTTTTTTAGCAAGAATAAGATGATTGTCGGTTATGCGAATAATCTTTAGAAACATGTGGGATTATGAGAAGAAAAAAAACAAAAACAAAAACAAAATGACTCACTTATTCTTAAAAAAATACTCGAAATGATATTATCACTGGATCGGTATATCATCATCTTCATCTTCACTCTCATTATCAACCATCATTTTTATGAAAAAACAACAAATTAGAAAAGAACCAGGCTCTGATACCATATATAAATTTACGGAATGATATTTTTATTGATAACCAAAATAACATATAAATAGATGAGAGTTTTACATTGAATAAGTAAAGTAGACATAATGATAAATGTTTCTAAATATATATTTTTCAGATTTGATAAGATCTCCATTATACGATATATCTTGTAATATTCTTCAAGATCCGGTATATCTCAACAATTATGCTCGTCATGTAACATACTGGCTAAAATTGGTTCGATACTGTATAGTTTATATGAAAAATCGAACCGAAATTACCAATATGAAATTAATATCGAACGGTCGTCACGTCGTCCATCATATATATCGAATTACATAAATATTTATTCGAGGTTTTTTATGAGTTTGTGGAGTGATTTAATTACATCTCCGAAATCCAGAATTGATGGTATAGTGGCGTCAAAGCACAAAATGTTTTTCCACGTCCACGGTTCGAGTCCCACCGGACATCATCAATTATTAAAAAAAAACATTTATCTGAAATATAATGGTAATAGACTTTGATATTTTTTTTAGGTATTCGGGTGTTCTGAATCGATGACCAAACTCATTCCAGGATAGGGATCAATCCATGTGATTAGATTATACACTCTACTCTCTAACATGAGACTCGAACTTGGGACAGAACGTACGTTTTGCGTCTTATTCATTCGGTTGAGGCTATCCAAATTGGGTTAATATACTTGGATATTATGAGTGGAAAAAAAAACTATTGAAAGCCCCTAAGTCACAGAATTAAAAAGTTTAGAACATCTAAAGTTTAGTCAACTCCATGTGTGGTTTGACTTTGGAGGGACAAAAGAAGAACAAAGGAATGGCGAGGGAGAGAGAGAGAGATGACAAATAGAAATGGGGGCACCGAAGAATGTTTTGGTTTTGCAAACGAGAAAACATTACAAATGAACACTATATAATATATATATATATATATTTTATATATGTTTAGTTGACCATAAAAAAAAAGATAATCTTAAGTGGTCAGCATACGTCTCTTATCCGGAGCCCTCGACCTTTGGGTTCGACCCACATGTTCTTCTTTATTACATATTTAGGGTTTGCCCAAAAAAATAACAATTAAAGTTGAATATATCCAACTAAAAAACGAACCAAATTTAAATTTTGATTTATAAAACAGAATAAAACTAAACGTTCTCTTGGTAAAATAGAACTTTCGTTACCCTACCTAAACTCCGGTTTAATCCAAACCACATTCTGTAAGATACCATTACAATTTAATTTTTGTTAAATCCATTTTAAAAAACTCATTATATATATATATATGTATGTGTGTGTGTGCCCATCCATCTCTTTATGTGGCTCTTTAGAACCCTACATTACACATGGTTTGGCCTCCTCCTCCTCCTCCTCCTCCTTCTTCCTTTTCAATGGTTTTCTATTTTGTCCCTCTCTCATACCACATGCTTACTCAATTATGACGTCATTATTTTATATTTGTTAAACTCCATGATTACCATATGCAAACAAAGTTTCCACTTCAAACACTCGAACTCGATTAGATTTTTCAAACAGAATTGGGTTAGAAAAATCCAAAAAACAAACTATTTCTAAACTAATGTTATTTAAAGGGTTTCCAATGTAGAAAATCTATATATTTTTATTCTATTTTTATATATTGTAATAAAATTTTGAATTATTTTCTTTTTAAGTATCCGTCGCTGCATACCTATTACGTTCTGGCTGATGATTTGTTGGTAATGTTAATTTGATAGAGGTGTAAGTAAAAACATTATATATATATATATATAAAGTATTCAACCCGAGTGTCTAAAAAATGTTTATTTTGTAAAAGAAAAAAGTTTTCTTAAACCAAACACCCAACTAAATGGAATTCTTTGTTAGCAATCATATTATAATTAAGATATAATTATGATTTTTATTTGGAAGGGAGAATAAAATGATTTACGTTTTTCAATTAATTGCCTTTTATACACTAGACAACGGAATTATAGATTGGGTATGTAGAAATATCTTTATACACCTTTTCTTCTATTAGTCCATTGTGGCTGTAGTTACTATATAACACATGTAGGATATATCACAATATATAATTCCAATAAAAAATAATTTCTTCCTCAAAGAATATTTCTTCCCAAATCTTAAAAGATTTTCCAGAGTATTTGTATGTAAAAATTAGTTAATTTAGATCAAAATCGAGCAAGATCTCTAAATCTTAGAGTTTTTTTTCTATGCAAAAATGAGATCAATTTTTTTATGATTATCATATATATTGATACAAAATTTCACTGAAAAAAACAAATACCAATGTGAAAATTTTGGTTGGAGTTCTCTGAGACTTGAGATTGAAAATGAAAAGAGGTGAAGTTGAAAGGTGCGTGAGAGAGCACTGTTATACCACATGATATGATTATGAATACGACTACCCATAAGAATGTTATATACATATCATAGATTATATATATATATATATATATATATATATACAGGACTTGTCAATGTAGAGTAACGGATAAAATAAACTGAAACTGTATCAAATTATATTTAATTTGCATCACCAAAATCTTAATTATACACTTTATAACAAATCACATCTAAGAAAAAATTTTCTACTTCAACAAAAAAAGGATAAAATTTTCTAACGTGAATCGGGTACAAAACAGTTCAAGGGAAGTTAAGTTATAGATAAATATTATAAATAGAATTCAATAAAATTGAAAACCCCATGTTTTATTTCTCTAATATATTTTACCAAAATAATATATTTTTTTAAAATGTTAAGAAATTTAGAGGTAAAAAATATCTGAGAAGTTTTAGGCTCTGACTCTGAGGGAGTTTAAGTGGGAGCCACGTGTCGGAGCACGCGCGCACGCCGCGTGGAGCCCACGCGTTGACTTTGTTTTTACCGTTGAAAAAATGGAAGTGCTTTCTGACGCTCTCCATTCCCTCACCGCCAAGCTTCGAGTCCACCCTCGGTCTTCTCACCAATAATAATTTTTTAAAAAAAGTCAAATTTCATTTCTCTCTTTTAAAATTTATTATTGAGTATATTTTTCAAAGGTTAATTTGTAATCTCATGAGTATTATTTAAGTTTATTTTTTTAATTCTTTTGTATTTGTAATAACAATGGTCTATTGCGGCAATGAAAGTTTATGGAGTGATGGATAACAACAATCATTGATATCTCTAAAATTGGGTGATACAACTGGTAAATAAAGGAGAAAAATTCTTTTACACCGAGTTTAAGTTCTTATTTGGAGACATGTGTTTTTCCAATCCTCTGAAAAATATAATCATACTGAAGATTCGGTGAAAATTGATGAGAATATTTTGGAATTTAAAATTTCAAAGAGAAGGGAATTTTTGTTTATATCGAATTATTTTTTTATCATTTTTGTTAAATAATTATATTTTAATACATAAATGATGAGAATTAGGTCTGAAAATAATAGAGACTTCAGAAAAATAGTAAATGATTCGTTTTTAAATCAACTAGGTTTTTGTCATTTTTCGTAACATATGAATGACTATGATTTCAAAATTTTGTGTATGCAATTCCAGAAATCATATTAGAATCTCTGAACAATAATTGTGATTGATTTTTTTCAATTTAATGCATGGTTTATTCTATATAATATGATAAAAGAGAAGTTTGATACGATGGTTTGTTTATATGTAAATTAATGAAGTAATTAATATATGAAGAGTTTCCCATGCATGTGGTTAATAACTTAATGTGGTTAGGAAGGTCATGTTATTATGTTCTTGAATTTAAAGTGCGTATCCATTCATGCAAAAGCATGTGGGTAAGGGAAGGTTAATTATAATATTATATATTGTCATAAATAAACTAATAATTAAAATCTCAACCAATTCCAAACTCACTATAATTAATTTCTCTAAATCATAGATATTCTAAAATAAAATGTTTTCTTATTATTACCAAAGATTAATTATTGCGATAGTGGTAGATCAAGTTATTTATTCCTTTTTTATATCAAATAAATTAACAGGTGTGTATACACACGTGCCTATGTATGTATGTATGTAATCTTTTCTTTTTGTTTGTAGATCATGTATGTAATAGTGTATGAAAAAGTAAACTCACACGATATTGTTTTCCAAAACTTCCAAACTGATTCTATTCATTTGTAAAGAACATGAATTACAACTCTTTTTTGTTCGAACCTAATCCATCCCAAGAACACAACTCCCCTTGAGTTTGTTCCCCCTTACAACATGAATTCTATCAGCTCATACACTATGTGTGCCTCGCACACCCCGTGTAACCCTAGACTCGTCTAGGCCCTTTGAGCGGTTTGCCTATTTTTGAAGGCTCCCCCTCAGATGCACTTCACTCTCTCTCAAGTATCACTCACCCGTGTTTCCCACACCTATGATTCTCCAGCTCTTTGCTCTTTTCTCTCTTTTTCTGTTCTGCTGGGATCCCTTTCTGTATCTCCCACGTCTTGTATTTATGCATAGCTCCTCTTCTTGTTTCCAATATTTTGCTCAATATCTTCTTTTCCTTTTTTTTTGGACTTTATTCCTTTTGCTTGATCTTTCTATTTTTCTTCAATGGCATGTTTCTTTTTCTCTTGCAAGTCATTCCCTTACTGGTTGTTCCTTCCATTTCTTCACATTGACTTGTTTCCTTTTTGCTTGAGATCTTCTAGATATTGAATCTTCGCTTGATGCTCTTTTCTTGCATTAACAGTGTAAACAATTTTCTTTCCTTGCTTAAATACATAAAAAAAATAATTCTTATATTTTCTATTCTTTGAACCATATATATATATATATATATATGCACGAACTAGAAAGGATAATTTTAGATAAACTGGTTTAGTAAGTTATTCCTATTATTTCAAGAAAAATATTAAAATCCTGAAATTATAATTTCAAAATGTAGGATATGGAGAAAAAGACCCAAGAAAATCTCAAAAAAAAAAAGAGGGAAAAAATCAAAATAGAAGCACAAAAGGACATTGACAAGAGAGCCGTCAAGCCACCTGAAAAAATGTCAACCAAAACATTAATCCATTAATCTCCCCTCAATTACATAAAAAAAAAACACTACAGGAAGAAAAAAAAAGAAGAGAAAGAGTTAGTGGTCTCTTGGGCTCTCATAATATAAGTATCTCCTTTGATCCAACAAATATTTTCCCATCATTTCATATTTTTTTTGCGTATTGTGTACACATAAACACATTGGTTATTCTTCTTCAAAGGTTGGGGTGAAAGCCATGGGAGATGATTTCAGCACCACAGGTAACGGAAACTGGTGGAAAGTGTCGTCGTCGTCGTCTTCGTCTCCGTCGTCGTCTTCGGGGATCGGTTGCGGTACGTTGGGGAGGTTTGGTTGGGAGAGGACAGAGACTGTTGAGGTAAACAAAGAGAGGTCGAGCTCTATCGAATCCGGTGGCTCGGTTGTTTTCCATGATCATCATAAGCTTCATCATGATCCATCATTTGATCATCATCATCATCATCATCATCATCTTCAGATGATACGTTTGGGCCTTTCTTCGCAACCTGCTCATCAATGGAACCAATCTCTCCTGTGAGTAATTAATATTCGGATATTGCCATCAATTTGTAGTTTTTAAGATACCCTTTTGAAAAAAACCGATTTTTCTTTCGGATTCTGTAGAAAAGATTGATACTTTCCCACTAAAAACTCGTCCTCAGGATGTTTACTTTTCTTTGGGTTATGTGGGGGACAGGCGAGACGATAATAAAGCGCAGACAAGCTTCGGGGCGATGCTTCAGGAGAACATAAACGCGAACGCAAACGCAGACGTCAGCATCAACGCGACGTCGTCATACCAACAAGAATCAGGTTCTTCACCAGCATCGATGTGGCGAGATTCTGCTGCGAACATGGAGTTCAAAGCGCAGATGAGCGATGGCAGCGGTTTCTTCTTGGACCAATCGCGGTTTAGCCAAAACGCGAGCTCGAGCGATAGCACCGTGACGTGCCAAAGCTTCGCGGTCGAGAATTCATCCAACGCTTTGTATTCAAGCCCGAATTCCTCGAACATGTTCCAAGGAACGTTCTTGGGATCTAATCAACCGCGAAACCAGTCGCCTTTTAGCTACTCGCAGTACGGAAACTTCGGGATGAGTTCTAATAATAACGACCATATGGCGTCTGCGTCTGCGTCTGCGACCGCGACGTGGTTTTTGAGAGCGTCTCCGCCGCAGAAACCGCAGAGTCCGTTGAGTTTCTCTAACAACGCACCGTTTTGGAATCCATCAGACGCGTCGCCAAACTTCTTCCCGGCGTTACAAACGCAGCCGATTCAAACGCCGAATTTCGATGAGAAGCCAAAAGTACGTGGGAAAAACAAGTTTCCATGGTTTCGTTTGCTGGGTATTTACATGTATTTTTTTTTAGTAACAACAAAAATTCATCAATGGTTTTCTTTTCACTGTCTAATATAAAGTTTGACCATATAATCTCTACGGTCCAATACATTCTTTTGAATACTAGAATTATATGCGTTAGTTCTCCGTAATTGAATTTCATGCATGCTTATATATATATATATATTCATACACGTATCATTTTCATGTGTAGAAGAATGTGCCGGAGATTCCGGATCCGAAGAGAAGCGGCGGCGATCAACCGGCGGCCAAAAGGTCTAAGAACGAGACGGTGTCGCCTTCACCAACTTTCAAGGTGAAGTGTTTTTTTTTGTTCCTCTTTTAATGCAATAGTACTTAAGCTTAATCAAACATATATATATATATATATATATATATGAGGAACTGACATTCAAGATGGATATATGATTAGCTAATTAATTCGTGTATGTAAATAAACATTTGCTATTCAGAACTTTGGTTGATTATTATAATGACAAGGTGAACTTATTATTTTCGCCCCTTTTGTTAATTTTTTTTGCTGCTCTTATTCTTTGGTTTCATTCACAGATGAGAGATTTGTATATTTTTTTTTGTTTTTTTTTTTAAAATTAATTTCATGAATTAGGTGAGGAAAGAGAAGATGGGAGACAGAATCGCTGCGCTCCAACAACTGGTATCACCTTTCGGAAAGGTTCTCTCTCTCTCTACATTTCTTGCTTTTGCTTTCAGAAAGATGATGAGTGTGTATTAGTATATATATTTGTAGCCCGTCATAATTACTTATCATATTATACCAGTATATATATATATATGTATGTATGTATGTATGTATGTATGTATGTATGTATGTATGTATATATGAATACAGTTACGTGGATATGTGACAGTAGAGATTATGGGATTAGATTTTGTGAGACTGAACTCATGTGGGTTTGTGTCAGACTGATGCTGCCTCAGTGCTGTCTGAAGCCATTGAATACATCAAGTTCTTGCACCAGCAAGTCACAGTAAGTCCCCCATAAATATTCCTCGTTCTTCTCATAAAACGTTACCATAAAAATAATTCATATGAAATCAACATCATATTATAATTATATTATTTGTATAAATTGTCATCAGGCCCTTAGCAGCCCGTATATTAAAAGTGGACCTTCGTTACAGCATCCACAGGTGCATTCTCTCTCTCTCTACTTACCATTTTATATATTGATGTTATTTAGAGTAGCCACTCATTATAATTATTATTATACACAATCATTATTGTTATTATTATACAATTAATCTCATCCTAAGATATTATCATTTTTTTTGTTATACAAGTCATAATTGTTCTTTTTCCCACGGTTGCTTCACTTTCAAGATTAGACAAAAAATTATTCCATATTAATGACAATACAACGAAAAGTATCAAATTTTATTTACTCATATCCAATTCAATGAACATAGTTTCTTTTTTTATTTATACATATTCTAATATTTTAAACCGAATATAAAACTCGAGACATCACGTGAATATTCCAACATTTATGATCATACAACAAAATTTTGGACTCACCAAATATATATTTTATATATCGATATATTATACAGAATCGCGATCAGTCCAGAGACCGTGAAGAACCCGAACAAGATCTTAGGAGCCGAGGGCTATGCTTAGTCCCCGTATCGAGCACATTCCCCATTACTCATGATACTACGGTCGATTTCTGGACCCCTACATTTGGTGGATCATTTCGGTAGATATAAACAACAATTGATTATATATATATATATATGTTTGACAATTACATTATCTATACATAGATGTGAGATTCACAAAAACCATTTAAAAAGAAAATATAATTAATTGTCAGAGAATATATATATATATATATACATATGTATTTTTTTTTGTTTAAATTGATATTATTGTTGTTCTTGATAGGTTTGGAAATATAAACGATGACATTGATGATGATAATAATGTTCATTGTCATGAAAATGTAAAACTTTGAATTAGTTTATACATGGAGGAAGGGGCTTTTTGTTTTTTATTTTTTATTTTTTCTCTTAAATTATTTCCAAAGGGAATAATAAGATTCCAAGAAGAGGAAAGGGGTTGTGTGGATATGCATATTTTGATTGTAAAAAAAAGAAATATGCTTTTGATTTTGTTTATATCTTTTTGGAATAATGTTAGTGGAAGTCGCATAATGGCCATCGCAATGTTCTTTCTCTATCATATGCTTCCAAAATTCCTCTTCGTTCGTTATCTTTTCGTAGCTTTTCAAATCTAACATTACCATGTTCATATTTCGACTCTGTTTGTTTTTGTTTATTTTGGAATTTGGATTTCTTTTTTGTTTTAGTTTTAGAAAAAAATTGTATTTTTTTTCCAATTCGTTTAATTTAATTTCGATTTGAAATTAGTTTATATTAAAAGAATACTCATTTTTTTTAAAGTTTTTCTATTTTTATCAAATGTAAAAAATCATATCTAACCGATTTTAAAACATAGTCGATTCAAATACAATTTATATTATGTATTTCAATTTTATATAACCAATATAAATGGTGATTCTATGAGAATCCGATATCAATTAAAGAATTTATTTGGTTAGATGAACATATATAAGATTGGATGGATCAATTGGTAAAGAAGGGAGCAACGTTTCTTTTCTAACTCATATTTGAGTCTCTACTTGAGAAAGAGTATTAATATGGATTTTTCGGTCTTTTGGAAAATATAGTTGGATCAACGACACGAAAACTTCCGAATTAAAAAAAATCTTATAACATTGAGAGCACACCAAATTACAACATTTTTATTTATGTGTTGTACATATCCTAAACTAGTTCCGTTGTTCGTGGTTTCTTCTATATTTTTATCCAAAATTTTGGATATTCGATCTATATTATCCAAAATCTTCTATATTTCTACTTCGTCAAAAATTGATTGATCTCCAAGCCCAATTGGATTAAAAATTAAAAACAGAAAATCTAAATAGATTCAAACCAAATAAATATATAACTATAACCAAATTTATTTTGATATAAAACTGAATGATTATGATTTCTCTTGATTATAAAAAAAATTTAAATCCTTAAACTAAATCGAATAAAAAAATAACCTAAATAAACAAATATTTTTAAAAATGATTATTTTTATCAATAAGAACTGAATTTAAAACAAAATAAAATTGAAATGAATGATGCAACTTCTTGGAAAACCTTTGGGCTTGGGGATTGGCACCCTTTTTTGTGTGTTTTTGGTCCATTTGATTTTTTTTCTTCCCAAAATCCCTGAATTATTAAAATTCTGAGTATATTTTTTTATCATTAGAAATATAATTATTTAAATTTCTATACAAGAATATAACTTTTGAAATATTAACGGATTGCTATATTGTTATAATAACGTCTTTTAAATTTATCACTTCATAAAAAAAATATTAGGTTAGATGTCGAAAAATACTAATCCTCTTGTGGGGTTGAAGTTTTAAAAATTTATATATTTGAAAAAGAAATTTCCTTAAAAGCTTATTAAAAAAAATACAAATTTTCAACCTCAAAAAATACAATTTTGAATGAAACCAAAAGGAAATGTCGAAGGGGAGGAGGAGAGAACCGTACAAAAGAATATCAAGATTCAAGAACGACGTAACATCCTTCACAATACTTGCCTGGACTTTCGCGATTTCACAGAATCTCTCTCTCCCCCTCTCTCTCGGAGTGCAACTTCGTTACTTCGCCGTCCATGGAGCTCCTCCGATCAAATTTGTCTCGGGTTCGGATCCCCGAACCCACTAATCGCATCCACAGGCATGAGTGCTGCGTCTCCTTCGACACTCCAGTAAGCTCTCTCTCTCTCTCTCACACACACACAAATGGGATACGTCAATCAATTTCGCGTTTGATTGCCGCGATGATTTCGAAGTTTTAGAGAAGTTAAAATCGTTGTTTTTGTTGCTTCACTGTTCGCCATTAGTTGCCCTTGGGGTTTTTCGTTCTGTCTGAATGATTTTTTGTTTGGGTTTTGATTTTGACTCATGGGTTTTGATGAAAATGGCATAATCTGACACATTGATGATTCTGTGATGATTTTTCAGCGATCTGAAGGAGGGTTTTGTTCGTTGACATGAACAACTTTGTTACTTTTTTTGGGAAGGATTACGTTACTTGGAACTACGAGAAGACGGGGAATCCCGCCTATTTGCATGTAAAACAGACTCCGAAGTTGGTTCCGGAGGATCGACCTTTGAAGAAACTGACTGGCAATAGGTATATGATGATCATAATGCTGAATGTATTTACTGTCCGTGAAAACAGCCACAACTGTTACAGTCTTTTGTACTCTGTTTTGTTTTTTATATTGTGGGAAAGAGTGTGGTATTATCATTGAAATTGGTATATGATCGTACTTAGTGTTTGTTTCTCTCACCATATACAGCTTTCATATGATTTTTCCATCTGTTTTCCGTGACGGGAAAAGATGCTCGGCAGTTCTTCATGTTCCATCTAAGAAATTATACATTTCATATATAAAACTAAGTTGCTATTTCACAATAATGTGCTTTTAGTTTATGTTCATTTTCTATCATAATCTAAATTTGAGTGTTGATCAGTATATATATATATATATATATTCGATTGTTTTTCTTTTTATATGTATTGACTTAATAAATTATTGTCCATGTTCACGCGTAATGTATAGGAAGAGATTAGATAAGTGTGCACCTGTACTAGGGGTGGGCAAAATATCCGAAAAATCCGAACCGATCCGTTATTCGATTCGTATCCGAACCGAAAATTCGGATATCCGGAGTTTACGGATCAGATACGGATATTTATTTGGAGATATTTATCGGATACGGATATTAAATTTGAATTATTCGACATATCCGATCCGATCCGTATTTTGTAATAATATTATTAAATATAAGAATAATTTGGTATGGAGATTTAAAATGCTTAATATTTACATGTTTTTTTAGGGTGATTCAAGAAAAATTTTATATATATTGAGGTTTATAATTTTAATTTTTGAATATTAAGATTTATTATGTTTACTGTTTTGAATTTTGAATTTTGAATATATTTGTATGTAATAGATTATAATTGTATTTGTATTTGAGTTGATTTGGAATGTTTAAATTATGAATTTTAAATTTGTGAATATTATTTATCTTAAATAGATTATATATTTTATTTACGTTTGAATTTGTTATTTAATTTAAATTTGAAATTTTATAATATTTTAGGTCGGATATGGATATCCGCAAATATCCGTGATTTTAACGAATATCTGAAATTGCGGATATTCGAAAATTACGGATCGGATACGGATAACAAAATCGAATATTTGTGCGGATTGGATACGGATACGGATATCTAAAAAATCCCAGATATCTGATCTGTGCCCACCCCTAACCTGTACCATGTATTTGTATAAAACGATTTTCGAAATTATAAAAAAAGATATATATGTATATATGAATGTGTATGTATATATCTATATATATATTTTTTCTTTTATCATTTATTTTATATTTGATAATTATTTTTTTAATTTATTTTTCTACACGATAGTGATGTAAAAATAGTTTATAGATTTTTTATACCACATGGAAATTTTGATTGCCCACGAGACAAATTTAAAATATTGAAAATATTCTATTACATAAAAATTTTGTTAAAAAAATTGTTCGTGTTACATGAGAATTTTGTTTTCTCAACTGTCCATTATTTACGTAATACAACTTTTTATGAAAAATCTTTTTTATATATAACTAAATTATTCGTATTGAATATCATTTCCGTTATATTAATTTACTAATATAAATTAAAATACATAGAATTTTCTATTACACGAAAATTATATTATAAAAAAAATCTTTTTATAAAATATTATACCAAACTTCTTCATATCAAGCCCAGACATGGTGGTCCGGTAGTGTGGGAGCACAAAGTACACTTTCACACCCCGGATTCGAATCTCACCTACACAATCACCAATATAAAAAAACTTCTTCATATCGATATAAAACAAAAAGAACGTTACATATAATATATATTTTATTATGGATATATAAGTTTCTACATTCCTACTAAAAAATAATAAAATTTAAATATTCTACGCTATGTATTGTTTAGATTTTATGTTCTCATTTGTCCTTTTATTTTATTTTTAGAACTTAAATTATATTTATATTCTTATATTCTAATTTATATGTCTTTTCTATACATTTCAAAATTTATTGAGAATATTCTATCACATAAAAACTATATTATAATGTTTTTTTTGTAAAATAAAACAGTAAACTTTTTCATAACAATATGAAACAAAAAAAAACTACATATATAATATATATTTTATTACGAATATATATGAATTTCTAAATTTCTACTAAGAAAAACAATGGAATCTAAATATTTTATGAAAAAGATGAATAGTCAGATTTTATGTTCTTATTTATTCTTTTATTTTATTTTCAAAAGTTATATTTCTTTATTCTAAATTGTATATCTTTTTTATGTATTCCAATATTTATTGAAAATTTCTGCATAATAGATTGTATAAATTGTTAAATTAAAGATTCAACAAATTTTTAATAAAGCATATTTAAATTGATTTATAGAATTATTATTATTATTATTATTTGAGGAATCAGGATGCAACTCTAGAGATTGAGAGAGAGAAAGACGTTGAGGAAGTCCAATTCTTCGGAGTTAAAGGCAAGTAATCGATCACGAAGAGAAACATGTGAGGAGAAGGAGATAAGGAGGAGGAACCAAATAGATACTCAACGGTTTTGGGGTGAATATATGTATGTATATGTATATAAAATTAAAATATATATGTATATGTATATAATATATAATTTTGGATATATTAATAAAGAAATTATATATGTACGTATATGTCTATGTAAGAATATATATATATATATATATACTTCAAGATAATTAATATTTAGTGAAGTAAAAAATTAAAAGAAAAAACGGTGTTTAGATTTTTTTAATTAATTTTATGAAGAAATTATGATAGAATTAAATGAGAAATTATAAAATATTAAAATAATTAGTTCAAAATAAAATTATAAGAATTAAATGAAAAAAATGGTGATGAATTATATGAATTAAATTATTGTTAAGATATAATAATTGGTGATGAAAAAAAAGGTGACGATAATGTTATGTAATACGATGATATACATGTTTTAATGTATTCACATGATATTTTATACTTTATATATAATAACATTTCTAATTAAACCTTTTTTTTTGATTCATTGGGAACCCCGGTTGCTACCCTTCGGGCACGCTGACCGAGTAAACCCAAGCCCACACGCACGAGTCTGCAACACACGCGTGGGAGGTAAATCAGCCCAGTGATGGACTGACAGGCGAAGCAGGTAAATGGTAAGGAAGAACGGCGTCAGGATTCGATCCCTCCACCTCAGGGGTGACCCCATGCTCCCTTACCATCTGACCTGGCCCTTGCGGGCATTTCTAATTAAACCTTACGAGTCAAATACTAACACTTTCCACTTATACGCATATATATATATTGCATGAGATATTGAAAAAACAACCATCAAAACAATTAAATATTTTGAAATACCCCACTTATTAGTTTCGTTTGTATTAATTCTTAGGATCCCACATATAATTACGAATAAAATAAATGCTTTCTAATCCATTGGGTTCGTTATTCATTTTTATTTACATTATACTGTATTATAAAAATATCATGAACTATATGATTATTCGTATAAGATTAAATAAAAGGAAAAGATCGAATACAATTTCGAAGATCAGTCTCTTACGTCTAAATAACATGTCTTTTCAAATCAAAATCTGTTTATGAACACAACATTAGTGAGAAAAGAATGGAGGAATATAAAACATAATCTATCTTTATGTCATTTTTGTTAAAGAAAGTAATTTTTTCCTTAAAGAAAAAAATACGAGAAAACAATAATAAAACCTATTATGAAGGTGAGTTTTCAATTGTGTTTCTTTTTTAATTTAGATGGCGTGATTTTCATATAATATATTGTAGATATCACACAATCAAATGTGTACAAAAATTTAAAAAATAAATGTCACATTAATGATTTATATTTTTTATATCATTTATATAAATTTAACCAAATTTAAAACAAATCTTTACTACAATATTTTAAGAATATCATTTTAAATTATTTTATTACTATAATATTTTTTATACCATTTTAATATCACTTGGTCATTTTTTTAATGATAATATTGAGAATTTATTATTAAGAGTTGGAGAGCAATATCAGAATCTGAAAAACCGTAATTCTCGATTTCTAAGAGACCAAGAGTCTCTGATTCCTCTTTGAACTCTATTAATGGTGATGACGAAAGATTCAACAGTGATTTTGGCAATATCGTCGTCGAATTCATATGACTTGGTCGTTCTCGACGACACGTTCAATGGGTTACCCGATGGACATCGTTTATTCTTAAAGACAATGAGTTTTTGCATCATTTACTGTTTCTGAGATTTTTCTAAAGTTAGGCGTAGTCGTCGAGATTATTCATGTCAAGAAAAAAATTCAGGCAGTGACAAAGTTGGCGAGGGATTGGATTGTTCGCTGAGTATGTGATGGTCCGATATTGACGAACCAACAGGTATGTAACATAAGATGTTTTGGATTGCATATAAAGGTGGTAATATGCGTTATGTGTAAATAACGTTCAAAGAACAAAACAAAATTGTTTATATTAGAATTGCTCTAACTACTTTTAGTTCACGTATTTTATTTACAAATTAAATTTTTAGTTAATGTAAATTATGAACTTTATTTTTGTTATATTTAAATTTCAAACGAATCTGAAATAATCATATGATGTTATATATATACCCTCAAAGATAAAACTACGGACAAATAAAGGAAAAAATTCAACCTGACCTTTATCTCTTTCTCAAAATTTTTTTAATTAACATATATTAGTTGTATATATGTTTGATCACAATTACATTCATTACGTTTAAATTAATAGAAAATATCTAATCATAACATTCGAAAGCCATTTATATTTATTGACTTTATATTTTTATCATTTTTGAGCATCTCCTTTATATAACAGTTTTTCAATCACCGGTTCACCTTAAAAAAATAATACACCAAAAAATATTTACAATCATAGAAAGATAACCCTGAGAAATCTAATTGAGTTTACAAAGATTGGTTGTATCGAAATGGTATCAAATTTACTATTTAATTCATTTTTTGAAAATTATATTTATATATTCTCATTTATATATTTTTTTATGTTTCAAGATTTATTGAAAACCTCTCGATAATAGTGACATGAGTAGATAAGTTTATTTAATAAAATATATTTTAGTTATTTAATATGAAACATTAGTGGTATTACAATGTGAATATATATTGAAAAATATATAAAATTACATTGATAAATCGTATTCAAAATATATATAAAAATAATTCTATAAAATAAAATATAAGAATATCTATATTTTCTATTTTTTATCTTCTTTATATATATATATATATATATATATATATATATATCTATTATTTTTGTTATATTCATATCAACGTTTTTCCATAACAAAAAAATAAATATTCTATATTAACAACAAAAAAGAATCAACCGCACATCGCGCGGGTCTCATCTAGTTTATATAATACCTTTTCTTCTTTGGTTTATTTTCAATTTTCGTTTTGTGTCGAATCATCTCATTTGGAACATTATAAAAAATACTATTTTTTTACTATTTTGATTTCAATACATACGCTTCTACAACTGTGATACTGTGATTCGTATAATTTATAATGTTTTTATCAAATGATTAGTGATATATGCAAGAGATGAACATAATAAATTAGTATGATCACCATAAATTTAACGTTATAACCAATAAGATCAATATATAATCGGGCATATTTTTTTATCACAGAGATCATAGGATCACAGTAGAAAAAAAAGAGTATGTGTTAAAGTCAAAATAGTTTATTTTTTATATAATGCAGTTTTATGAGAGAAAAATATATGAAAATTTCTAAACTTGTAATTTGTATAATATTAATTTCCGAACTTATAGGTACATCTATTTATTCCTGAATTTGTGATTTTGAATACAGTAATTCTTGAACTTATATTTTTTAACACAATAATTACTAAATTTATATATTTAAACACAGTAATTCTTAAAGTTTGTTTTGATCAATTAGTAGTATGAATGATTATGAAACTATTAAGTAAATTTAATAATTACTATATTCAAAAATATAAATTAGGGAATAAATAGATGTATCTAAGAATTTATGAATTAATATTACGGTTCAAGAATTTTTAGGTGTTTTTTTTTCATAATTAAAATTTTTAATATATATACACACACCCACGTGCTATTAGGAATCTTTCTCCACGGCCACAGCTCTACGAAGTCAATTAACATTTCCATGTCGCTTTCAGTCCCATAATTTTTTAAGTCAATTTTAAAAGAGAACACCATCTCCAGAATCAATCAACAAGCACCGATACCGATAGCCATGGCGATGGCGATGCCGATACCGAGCCGGAAACTTTTCATCGACGGTGAGTGGAGAGAGCCTGTCCTGAAGAAGCGCATCCCGATCGTGAATCCTTCGACCGAAGAGATCATCGGTAAGTTCCCGTTTCGTTTTCTTCTCTTCTCCTTCGCGATCCGGCTTGGAATCACACATTTCTCGGTTTTGGTTTTGATCGTGCTTTGGATCTTACATCCTTGGAATCAATTGTTGTGTCTTGATTTGTGGTGGGGGTTCGCTGTTTCTTCTGAAAAATCCAGTGGAATTTGAGGAGAAATGATGTAGTAGTATGCTTGTGAATCTGTGATTGTGCGTATGCTTTGCTGAATCCACCACTTACTGTTTCTTGATCTTCGAGTTTTTGTTTCTTTTTCCTTGGATAGTTGAGGAGAAATGATGTTCAAGTTTTGGCATCCATGAGCACTCTGTATTATTAGTTTCAGGGTGGCAATGATTTATAGACTAGGAAGAATTGGTTCTAAGGAATTGTCCGAAGTTGGAGGAAAACGATTGAAGGCCTAGAAAAGTGTATTCTGCTTGTGATTTTCAGTGAAGTAAAGAGGAGACTTATTCTTTTTTGTCACAGCTTGATGCAGCGATGAAATGATTTTCAAATTTATCCTATGATATCGTGGTTAAAATTCGTAGTTACCTTACCTATTGACTGGGAGAGCAGGAAGCTAGGCAATATTCAAGTTTCAATTGATCCATTGTTCCATGTTTGTGAATGATGTTATCTCTTAGGTGATATCCCTTCGGCTACAGCGGAAGATGTGGAGCTTGCAGTCAATGCAGCTCGAAAAGCATTTTCAAGGAATAAAGGGAAGGACTGGCCCAAAGCACCTGGGGCTGTTCGTGCAAAGTATCTGCGTGCTATCGCTGCTAAGGTACTTATTTAATGTTTATGATGATCTTATTCTGAGATATGTTCAAGAATTCAGTATGCTTGGACCTTCTCTCGGTCATCAGTTTGACGTCCTGTATCTGATTTATGTACATTGTTTTTTTATTCATCTACTTGTTTCCCTTTATGTTGAGTACATAAACATGGTTTGTTTAATATGTGCTGCCTTTATATATTCATTTCAACTTCAGATAACGGAAAGAAAATCCGATCTTGCAAAACTTGAGGCTATCGATTGTGGTAAACCACTAGATGAAGCAGCTTGGGATATGGTACATTTACTTCCATTTAGTTAAATACCGACCTTGATTTTGTGTGTGTTGTATTTATGTGCGTGTTTATGTCCCGCAGGATGATGTTGCTGGATGTTTTGAATTTTATGCTGACCTTGCTGAAGGATTAGATGCAAAGCAGAAGGCTCCAGTTTCGCTTCCATTGGAGAGCTTTAACAGCTATATTCTGAAGGAACCCATTGGAGTTGTGGGACTGATTACACCATGGTTTCTACTTCTACTTGTTAACTATTACTTTTTTTTTTCAGGATAGCTTGTTAAGAGTTCTTTATATGCGCCCTTAGGCTTTGACAGAATTAGTTTTTTAGTTTTTCATATGATAGTTATCTTCCCTATGGAAGAAACTTTATGTGGGCTAGCTATGTTGAAGGGTATTCTTTCATTGTTCGATACATTTCTTCGTCATATATTTGTTGTAGATTGAATCTTTTTTGTGTAGCTGGGTTACCTTGTGAACTTGGAGTCAGCAGGCTAGAAATCTGGTCGTATTGTAACTTCTGACTTCTAGAGGATAGTTCTGTATGCTATATGTCTCTATAAACAAACATTCCAATGTGGCTTCTTGTTGATGTGTAGAAAAATCTATCTAATCTCACTTATTGTACTGGATATATCAGTTTCTAGGGCTTTTGGGGCGAGCATTTTCACCGATTTATCTAAAGCCAATTTGACTGACTATTAATTATGACTTTTTCCCTCGTCGAAGGAACTACCCACTTCTGATGGCCACTTGGAAGGTGGCTCCTTCCCTTGCTGCTGGGTGCACCGCAATTCTCAAGCCTTCAGAGCTGGCATCGGTGTACGTAATTTTGTATCGTTGCTAGTTATCATCCTTCGGGTGCGGTCATTATCTTCAAGTTGTCCATTTTTTCATGGTTCTTAACTTCAGTACTTGCTTGGAACTCGCTGATATCTGCCGAGAAGTTGGTCTTCCTCCTGGGGTCCTCAACATTTTGACTGGATTAGGTCCAGAAGCTGGAGCTCCATTGGCATCACATCCAGGTGTTGACAAGGTATAGGTCTTCTCTTTATATGATATGATCGACTATATTACTGCTGATTATGCCATGAATCTTGTTTTTTGTACGTGGGCCTTTTGAAGCTAAAGCAGTGTTTGTTTCCTGGCAGATTGCATTCACCGGAAGTTTTGTCACCGGAAGCAAGGTCATGACAGCTGCAGCTCAATTGGTGAAGGTATTTCAAACTTCTGGATTCTATTATAACCTTTACTCTGTATTCTTTGTTCCATTGGAGGATTTAATCTCAAGTCAATGACACATTACTAACGGTGTTATTGCAGCCTGTTTCTTTGGAGCTTGGTGGGAAGAGTCCAATCATTGTGTTTGAGGATGTTGATCTTGACAAAGGTGAGTGCCTTCTCAAGTAACCTATGTCACTACATGTTTTTTGATAGAACCCGTATTTCATTTCTCGCAATATTGTAAGATGGTAGAGAGGTTTGGTTGCTTTGGTGATCCTCAGACAGGGCTTGGATATACTTCATCATAAATATTAACTATGATTTTTTTCTCTCTATATTTGACATCTTCTCAATGATCCGAACAGCTGCTGAATGGACTCTCTTTGGTTGCTTTTGGACAAATGGTCAGATCTGCAGTGCAACGTCCCGTCTTCTTGTCCATGTAAGTACACAGACAAATGAAATCTCCTCTGGATGCAAAGTCTCAGTAATAAGTATATGACAATTCGGTTTCTTATTTTCACATTTTTTAGGAAAGCATCGCAAAGGAATTTATAGAAAAGCTTGTAAAGTGGAGCAAAAACATAAAAATTTCAGACCCTCTGGAAGAAGGTTGCAGGCTTGGTGCTATTGTTAGCCAAGGACAGGTATAAGGCTGGTTTTTTTCTTTCTACCTCTTCCATTTTTGCTGTCACTTCTAATCCTGAAATGCCCAGCCTGTGTCCCAACCTGGTATGACTAATGCAAATGTTACAGTATGAGAAGGTATTGAAGTTTATCTCAACAGCTAAGAGCGAAGGTGCGACCATCTTGCATGGTGGTTCCCGACCTGAGGTAGTTTTTCTTCTCTTACCTGCCCCTTGCTTTAGTTTATATGGAGGATGTTATGATAGAGACAATGTTTCAACAGCACCTGAAGAAGGGCTTTTTCATCGAACCGACCATCATAACTGATGTAACAACTTCAATGGAAATCTGGAGAGAAGAAGTTTTCGGGCCCGTTTTATGCGTGAAAACATTTTCCTCTGAGGATGAAGCAATCGAGCTGGCGAACGACTCCCAGTATGATAACTTTTTCTCGACCTGAAAATGGGTCTCACCACACAACTATTTCGTTAAACTTCATACCTGTCTTTCCCATTTCCATTCTCTCCATAGTCCGTGGAAATTTAAGTAATGTCCATATTTCTCAGCTATGGCTTAGGAGCTGCAGTAATATCCAATGACATGGAAAGATGTGACCGTATAAGTCAGGTTAGTCCCACTTTTGTTATGCACTGCTTAGTAAGCGATATAGTAAAACCCGTCGAAAATTTCACTTGAATAACCATGGCTTCCAATTTTTTTTAATATTCTTAGGCATTCGAGGCTGGAATAGTATGGATTAACTGTTCACAGCCTTGCTTCACTCAAGCTCCATGGGGCGGAGTCAAACGCAGCGGTTTTGGACGTGAACTCGGAGAATGGTACGTCTCTTATCGGAATCGTTTCTTAACTCATCATACTGTGTTAGGGTTTCCTTAAGTAGGTTGTAATAAACACAACTGGTTTCGCTTTGTGTCTGGTGCCTGTAGGGGGCTTGATAATTACTTGAGCGTCAAGCAAGTGACTGTCTACAACTCTAGTGAGCCATGGGGATGGTACAGATCTCCGTCTCAGTGATGATGATAGATATATGTACGATAGATGGAAGCTGAATAATGCTTTCCAAGCTTTTGCTTCAGTTACTCAGACACTTGATTTCAGACTTAATAAAAGACTGATTCGATAATATTTGGTATAATGCCTTTTCACATCCGGGTGTGGGCACGGGAACTAAATTTTCGGGCATTCGGCCTGTGTGTTCAAAAATCGAACATCGGTCCACCGATGGGAGGAAATCCGATTCTCGAATTTGAATGTTACACGGTGAGAATTCGTATCCTTTGGTATCTTTCTTGCCTCTGTTTGTCTTAAGGTTGGGATTAGAGTTTAGCCGTGTTCTGATGCCTTGTCATCGCCGCTCCGAGTCTCCAACACCTCGCTTTTCTGTTAAAAAAATAATAATAGTTTTTCGAGTCCAATGAACCAACTGGTCAACTAATCAAGTCAGATACGTATAATATTTTTTATTTATATTTATTTTAAATAAATTTAAATAAACATATAAAAAATAATAAAACTTCAATACCATAAACTGTATAAGAAAAGTGTAGCTCGGAATTTCAAAAGATAAAAAAACAATTCAATATGGTCTAATAAAAAATAAGTTAACAAGATAATAATAATAAAATATATATCAATATACTCTGTTTTTTATTTAATATTTTATATTATCACAATCATAGTAATTGAGATATTTAAAATATCATGAGTGGTATAAAAAAATAATATAAAGTTATTTTACGGTCAAGTCCTTTTCACCACATTAAGGTATCAATAAATATTTCGTGCGTGCTTTAGTCTTTCATGTAGTCAAAAGTGATATGAAATGATATATCACTGATTTGCGGTATGCGACTCAATTTCACTATGATGCTATATATGGATTATTTATTCTTGACTGAATTTTACATCCATGGTATGGATAACATCTTTCTATATGACGAAATACCAAATTTGGTTCTTGAAAAACCATTGTAGCGCCGTTGTTGTTATCAGCAACGGAATACAATCTTGCAGGGCCACATTGTTCTAGACGAAAAGAGAAAAAATTAAATAGGGAATCCTTTGACTGGATTCGCGTCTATTGGCTTTTATTGTTTCAGCATACCCAACCTACCCCTACACGTGAAAACATCAGCCTCTTGTCTATAAATTTTGCCATCGGACCTGATTTCATTTTTTATCACCGCAATAAAGGCTCACTCTTTTTTCTTGTCTATTTTGTTCTCGGCGGCTGTCTAGTTTCAAAAGATAAAAAACAATTCAATATGGTCCAATAAAAAAAACAAGTTAACAAGATAATAATAATAAAATATATATCAATATACTATCAAGATCTATAGAGATAGATCGAGGCGGCTTCTAGGATTGTGTCAGAGTACATACATCGATAAGTTCTTGAAACGGTTCAAGATGCAAGATTCCAAGAAAGGAACCTTACCGATGTGGAGTGGCACAGTTCTCTGCAAGAGTCAGTGTCCTACGACACCTGATGAGCGAGAACGCATGGATCGGATTCCATATGCTTCGGCAATTGGATCCATCATGTATGCCATGCTTTGTACTCGACCGGATGTATCCTACGCGTTGAGCATTACGAGTAGATACCAGTCAGATCCAGGTGAGTCACATTGGATTGCCGTCAAGAACATCCTGAAGTACTTGAGAAGAACTAAGGATGTGTTCTTGGTATACGGTGGGTCGGAAGACGAGCTCGCTGTAAAGGGTTACACCGATGCTAGTTTCCAGCCAGACCCGGATGACTACAGATCGCAGTCTGGCTATATTTTCTGCTTGAAGGGAGGCGCTGTTAGCTGGAAGAGTTCCAAGCAGACAACCGTTGTAGATTCTACTACAGAAGCTGAGTATATTGCAGCGTCGAATGCAGCAAAGGAAGTTGTTTGGATCAGAAAGTTTGTTGGTGACTTGGGCGTCATTCCTAGTGCTGATAGCCCCATTGCTCTGTATTGTGACAACAATGGAGCGATCGCACAAGCGAAAGAACCCATATCCCATCAATGATCCAAACACATACTCAGACGATTTCACCTTATCAGGGAGATCATAGACAAAAGAGGCGTGCACATTTACAGAGTGTCGACATATGACAACATTGCCGATCCATTGACGAAGCCTCTCCCTTCCTCGAAGCATGAGAGTCATGTTAGGGATATGAATATTAGATGTTTAGCAGTCCATGATTAGAGCAAGTGGAAGATTGTTGGTTCAGTGCTCTATGATGTACTGTTATGCAAGCTTTGTTTAGATACATTTGATGTATTGACACCTTCTGTTTATTTATGGATGAGTGTTTTATTCATTACATATTGTGCATACTTAATATGTCATGAAATCCGTGTATTGTTATGAACAAACTAAACTCTCTAGTCATATGTCATTATGGGAATAATAATATACTAAGACTAGTATGATGTGTGATTGATGATCATAGAGATGATCATAGGTATTGGATACGATCACAATCACAGGTATTCGTTGGAGAACGGAATACTGGATTGACCTGCATGAGATTGTCACATGGACTAGCGTCATGATTTGAATCTCATATGTCGGTTCCATGAGGATCTGAGATATCTACGGAATTCAACTTGAAGAGTTGCGTACTTTGAATACGTCAAACGTCCTGCGTAACAGGAGGACTATAAAGGTGTGTATCAAGTACAAAATGATTCATGTAATGGATTGTAGATAGTCAAGATGAGATTTGTACCTCTCGTAAAAGAGAGAGATATCGTTGGGCCCTCGTGTGAGCGAGACTGTAGGAATGTGTGGCCGCACTATAGACGAGCTCGTCTATTTCAGACAGTCGAACTCAGTGAACAAGAAAGAAGTCGAATCTGATAAGGTGGTTTGTCCATGCCTTATATTCGACATATGATATCGTGATACAAAAGGATCATCAACAGGAATCATCACAGATGTTCGTATGATCACGAACAAACTCTATTCGAGATAGGTAGTCATAGTGTCTTGCTAGAGACCGCCTATGACTTGTGTAACCGAAATATAGATTTTGGGTTATACTGCTATATCGGATGAGCCTACAGGGTCACACACACAGGAAAGGACTAACGCGTGAGAAAAGACGAAAAAATCCCGGAGGAGCCGAAGCCAGACTGTTCGGTCTAGAAGTTCTAGACCGATCGATCCAGCCAACCTAGACCGATCGATCTAGACTGTCTAGACCGAACGGTTTACGTGACGTGCATGGGATCGGTCCAAGGCATAAGCTAGACCGATCGGTCTAGACGTCGGGATTTCCTCATCTCACTCAAATTAGGGTTTTAAGGGGATAAATACTTAGGGAACCGCCTCCCAACAAATAGAGCTCATTTTTCAGACCTTTTCCAGAGGTTTTGAGAGAGAGAAACAAAAGGTATTAATCCCTGAAACTCTTGCGCAAAGAAGAAGGTGTTCTTCAGTCCTAGCAGACAAGTTCCAACCGTTGGAATCCTTTCCGCCGTGTGGATACGTGTAGAGGGTGAGGTATTCTTCCTCTCTTCAGTGATCAGATGAACTCTTCAATTGATACAGGCTCCGGATCGATTGAGGTAAACGTTCTAATGTTTCTACAAGATCATACATGCATGGTTTTAGGGTTTCTTAGAAAAATTTTTGTTTTACATCCGCTGCGCAAACCCTAGAACCGATCTCTTAGGAATAAGATTCGCTCATGAGATCCTAGGAATCCCAACAGTGGTATCAGAGTGTGGTTGCTCTGTATGATTTTGTTAGAACCCGATCACGCACGTTATAGGATTTGAATTGTTTGAATCCGTGTTTGCTTTGATTCTATGCATGATTTGATTGTGGATCTAGAGTATATTTTATGTTCATTGTTGCATAGTATACAAGAGCTTCGAATTCTGAGTTCACAGGCGAAAATGGGGTCGAATTCGGGTCTGAAACGGGGCAGAAACAACGAAAACGAGATCTGAACACGTTTTCGCCTAGACCGATTTCGCAGGTTGGTTGTGTAATACCCCGAATCCCGATTTAATATTTAATTATTTAAAAATAAATAATTAAATAGAGATGTCATGAAATCACCAAAAATAAAGAGTACAATGCCGAGGAGAGGCACGAGGATCGACACATGCGGGAAGGATCGGGAAGGAACGAAGAAAAAAAAAAGGAAAAAGAAAAAAAAAATAGAGCCTGGTCCGCCGGACCAGGCCTGGTCAGCGGCGGACCAAGACTCCGCCGGACTCGGGCCCGACAGGGGGA